CATGTCCTATAGATGACCCCTATTTGTTTTAGGTCGAGGTCACTGTGGCTTTGACCACTAAAAAGCTTGTCTGACCAATAATTAGACAACACTGCCCTACAGTTTTAACATATGGCTTGAAAGTTACTCATGACTGGTAGAATAACCTCTACTAAGTTTTAGGTCAATAGATCAAAAGTCACATTGACTTTGACCACTTAAATCTTGTCCATCCAATAACTTGAGAACAGTTTGGCCTACAGTCTTAAAATTGTGTGTGAAGGTTGGTCATGATTAGTAGATGACCACTATTGTTTAGATTGCCAAAGGTCAGAGGTCATTTACCACTTAAAGCTTGTCCAGCCAACAATTAGAAAAGGATATGGCCTACGGTCCAAAGTTTGATTTTGAGGTTGGTCATGACTAGTAGACAACTTTTATTGATTTTGAGTTCAGTAGAAGAAAATGCCTAATTCCTTGTGGCCTTGACTACTAGAAGCTTGTCTGACCAATAACCAAAGAAAGTTTTAGCCAACAATCCATAAATTTGATATTTAGGCTGGTCTTGGCTAGTAAATGACCCCTAAATTTTTTAGGGTTGTGCTCACAGTGCCACTATGTGCCAGATCCTTGTCCTAACAACTATTTGAGAAGGGATAAATCTTTTTTAAACTTAGTAGGGACATTGTTCTTGGCCAGTAGATGACATCTGTTGATTTTAAGGGTCATTGGGTCAAAGGTCATATAATTGCTTTGTCATATCAATAATTTAAAAGAAAAAAGGCTAAATTTATGAAACTGTGTTGGACAATGCCCATGGCCTGTCTTAGACCCATATTGAGTTTTCTAATCAAGAACAAGAGTTTCTTCGGTCATACATTTGTAAAACTTATTTGTTACATGTACATATAAATTACTTGTTAACATAACACTTTACTGTTATAGAATATGCATAAGTTCATGTATGAAAATGTACCTCTGTGACAACAAATCAAGTAGGGGTAAAAGTGTTCTATAACCACATTTCAAGGTAATAAAGGCAGAAAATGCTTTAAAGTAACCTAAAAATTGTAAACAAGTTAATTTCAGGGGCAGACAACCTGAAAATCAGGACGTTTTAAGGTCACCAGAACCGAAGGTTCAGGTTGAGCTATTAGTATCAAAGGGGGAGGGAAGCTCCGTCGTCCGTCAGTCCGTCGTCATGCGTCAACAATCGTCTTCTTCTCTGAAACTGCTGGGTAGATTTACTTCAAATTTGGTATGTAGCATCCTTGTGACAGTCACACTTAAATTAGCTCATGTCATTTCAATTGGCTCCTTTTAGGGATCAACTGAGCAAAAAATAGAAAAACCTTTCAACATCTTCTACTTCAGAACTAATTGATGGATGATCACCAAACTTTGTCTGTTGCATTCTTAGGTAGTTGTTTTTATCAAGTTTGCTCATATTAATTTGATTGGCCCCTTTTAGGGGTCTCTATGGCTAAAAATAGAAAAACGTTTGGCCACTTCTTCTACAGAACTTATGAATGGATTATCATCAAACTTTGTCTGTAGCATTCTTAGGTAGTCTTTTATCAAGTTTGCTTATATAAGGGGCCGCTAAAGCTAAAAATAGATTTACATTTAAACGTCTATTTCTACAGAACTAATTGATGGATGATCACCAAACTTTGTCTGTAGCATTCTTAGGTAGTCTTTTATCAAGTTTGCTCATATTAATTTGAGTGGCCCCTTTTAGGGGTCTCTAGGGCTAAAAATAGAAAAACCGTTAGACATCTTCTTCTACAGAACTAATTGATGGATGATCACCAAACTTTGTCTGTAGCATTTTTAGGTAGTCATTTATCAAGTGTGCTCATATTAATTTGATTGGCCCATTTTAAGGGCTGCTAAAGCTACAAGAGAAAAACATTTAAACATCTCCTTTTACAGAACTAATTGATGGATGATCACCAAATTTTGTCTGTAGCATTCTTAGGTAGTCTTTTATCAAGTTTGCTCAAATTAATTTGATTAGTCCCTTTTAGGGGCTGCTTAAGCTAAAAATAGAAAAAAAACTTTGAACATCATTTCCTACAGAAATAATTGATAGATGATCACCAAACTTTGTCTGTTGCATTCTTGGGTAGCTTTTTATCAAGTTTGCTCATATTAATTTGATTGGCACCTTTTAGGGGCCGCTAAAACTAAATATAGAAATACCTTTAAACGTCTGCTTCTACAGAACTAATTTATAGATGATCACCAAATTTTGTCTGTAGCATTCTTAGGTATTCTGTTTTCAAGTTTGCTCATATAAATTTGATTGGCCCCCTTTAGGGGTCACAAAAGCTAAAAATAGAAAAACCTATGAACATCATTTTCTACAGAAATAATTGATAGATGATCACCAAACTTTGTCTGTAGCATTCTTACTAATCTTAGGAAGTCTTTTATCAAGTTTGCTCATATTGATTTGATTGGCTCAGTTTAAGCTAAAGCTAAAATGCCCCAGGTCAGGACATTTCTTCAAATTATTGTTTTAAGATATTCTATGCTCAAATTTACTATTAGAAAATATTGACAATGGATATTTTCTAACACTGAAAAGCAGTTGTTTCTGGTAAGAGACTCAGGGCCATCATGGCCATCATGGCCCTCTTGTTTGTTTTGATATGCCCACAAACTTTTTGGCTTATATTGTTATGCACATGGATTTCCGTCAGTCTGTAAGCAACTATCCGGTTTATATAATATATCTCGTGAACCAATGGAGGAAATAGAAACTATGTGGCAGAAATGTTAACCATAATGAGACAATGTGCAGAGCGCAGGTTTGACCTTCCTCAGGTCAAGGTCACACTAAGTCATTTTGTATGAATTTCAATGAGTGTCAGCTCTGTATCTTTTGAATTGAAAGAAAAGAAATTTAATAATCATTCATTCAATGAGACAATGTGCAGAAGACAGGTTTGGGCTTTCCAGGATCAAAATATAATTGATATTAATCATGCTCCTTGGGTCATTATTGTCCCGGCACTGGGGCTCACTTTAATAATAGTTAAATACATGTATTGTTTTGTATAGGAAAATACATTTAAGCCTTTTTGTGAAACTACAATGCCTAGAGCTTAGATATGTAGCACTGCCTTGTCAGCATCTACAACACTCTGGTATTAATGATGCCCCTTGGTTTAATATTGCCCCCCCCTGGGGTTTGTTTATAAAGTCTTGTATGAAAACACAATTAAGTCTTACTTTGTTAAACAACAATGCCTAAAGTTAAAATATTTGTCATGTATCATTTCCTTGTTGATGCATTTGTGGGAAGGCAATTAAATAGCTCAAAACTGACTTTTTCAGTCTTTAAAAAAGAAAACATCACAGGGAGCCGAGGGCTTTTCTGCTTTCAAGAATGTCAGGTACATGTATAATGGCCACCTTGTGGCAAGAAGCAAATCGTTGTGCTACAGCCAGACACCATGCAGACCCATCGCTGGCCTTTGTTTGTAGAAGTATTTCCTCAGTGTTTTAAATACAAACCCTCATTGACAGATTGTCTATTTGGTACAGCAATTTGTAAAGCTGGTCCTTGATTGGCAAAGAAAATGATATACATGACCTTTCTGACACTCATGGTAGGCTAAGATATACATAGCCTTTTTGCGTGTTTGGTAGCCCATATCTTGTTTCAAAACTTATGCCTTGGCTCATAAAAATGTACCCATGTTTCATCACCATTGACAGTATTAAGGACAAATTGTAAGCAATGTTTGAGATATTTTCACGCAGAGACGTTTCTGTTCTTCTGTCAGCAGATGGGGTATCCATCGTGCACTTTAAATATTTTTCATGTATTAATCTTAATTCTATTTTTTTCATTCTAGTCCTTTTATCATGCAAGATATTGACTCTGTCATTTAGTCTTTTCACTTCATGTCAATTATATTTATCTAAGACACCTTTGATTTGTGTAATAACCTACTATTAGACGGTATCCAATAGACAATCTTTGGAGGGTCACAATTGTTCTTGCCCTTGGGCTCTGATTGAGCATCAAAAGGATAATTAAGATAAAACATGTTTTAGACAAGTTTCATGAATTGACCTCTTCTTTAATTAAAAGATTACTTTGATTACTCAAACGCTTAAGGCTTCAGGCTCTGGTTCTTGTTGCTGGGTCGCATGGGGGTTGCTTTCATTGAACGCCGCCTTTCCTTGTTGATCTTGTTTATCATATTTTATGAAATATTGCCCTGCCTTTTTCCTCATCAATGACTGATTACTGATGCAAGGCTGATAAAAGCTTAAAAAATTCTAATTAAGACCATGTCATCTTAAATAATAATAATGATAATAACAATAAAGTCTTTATTTAAAGAGGCTACACAGTTGCAATAAAGGCAATCTACCCTGCGGGCCTCATAAAATGTAAAAATTTACAATCATAGTTGTTAATAACATGAAATATTATGCAGAAACATTAACATAATTATTTTGATATTGCAAAAAGAAAATAATGATAATAATTATATAAAGTGCACAAAAAATATAAAGTGAAACTAGGCATTTCAAAATTACAAATAAACCTTTGACAATAACAATATTTCAACTTGTAGAGCAGTGTGTTTCTTATAATTTTGTATTTGATTTGTCTTTTTCCAGTTTTCTATCTATTTATGTTTAAAGTTTTGAAGTGATTGTGCAGAGCGTATGCTGATTGGTATTTCATTCCAGATTTTTGACCTTGAATTGTTAAAACATTTTTCTGAAAAATTCTACTTATTTAATAATAAGTAGGTAATACATGCTAAATTTGCATAAATATTGAAGTACAATAATAAACCTATCAAGTGGACATTGTTTTGTTGAAAATTAAGTCATATCACCTTTAACATTTCACTAAAAAGTAGGACCTAAATATAACACTCATTCTGGAACAACATATAACGTTTAGAAAAATTATGTTGAATAGATAAGCTATAACTTTTAGGTTACAAGTAAATAGGCTCATTTTATTTTTAGGTCAATCCAAAATTGGATCTTACACATATGAATTTAAATCCATGAATGATTCAAAAGCACAAGTTTACATGAACTATTAACATCAACAAGTTTTATTTTATAATTTAAAAGAGGATGGATCTGTTTGATTTTTATAATTTGTCATGGCAACTGTTTGCTCTTCTGTTTACACTGTTGGCAATGTAAGTATTTATCTATGTTTACCATATTTATTATATTTTGTATAAACTAAACATATACTGTGAAAATTGTACAGATTGAAAAAATATACATGTAGTTTGAGTTAATCAAGTTAAGACAGGCTAGATATTGAAAATGTATCTTGTAACAGCCTACATATAACTTATGACATATACATGACTGTTTATCATTGTATTTATTTTTCACAGTTTTCTGTACAGACACTATACAATATTGAAGAGATACGGTATACCTGGACCAACACCATGGCCTATCATCGGAAATCTTCATGAACAAGTTTACAGGGTATCATTTCATTCTGGTGCATTTATGTACTGATTTTGAACTATCACTTGTTTTAGCATGAATAAGATATTTGAATATCGTAATAAAGAGTTTGTTCAGAATTCAATTAATCTATTCAATCCTGTCATATATTGGTAATATAGGTTACTTATTACTGATAATGTTACAATATTAAAGGGACTGAACACTTCGGAGACTGAACACTTCGGTTTATTTTTTTTTAATTTCCAGATATATGTTTCTTTTGATATATGTCTAAACTAAATAACTTGTCTGCAAAATTTCAGATCATTCCCTCACTGTTCTTCCATAATAATTATTCTAATTGTGAACATTGACCAGAAATTGAAAAGCATTACAACACTTTTCACTCAAATGGGCTCAACAATATGATTTTCAATTCATTTCTTAAAAAAATGTTTTTAGGATAATTATTGTAAGTCAAAATCTTATAAAGTCCTGCATTGATTTTGTTTTCTATACTATTCAACACTGAGAATGATTAATAGTGCAGTGCAGCGTGTCTGACAGAATGATGTTGTTTGATATTCTGTTGTTTTTTCTCTTTTACAAGGGTATGCATGTCACAGATGAAGAATGGTCAAAAAAATATGGCAAAGTATTCGGGTAAGTTTTTAATTATTCTGCTGTATTCATGCACTTGTTTAGTTGTAAATATGAATTAAGGAGATTTCCCTTTTTATGTGTCAGAATATGTTCCAAAATCAGGCACCTAGGTCAGGACAACATAAACAAAGATGGAGGTTAACCAGTATATCTAATAATTGCATGATTTTTTTTAACTGTCAATTGATGTTAAAACTGGAATCCCAAAACAATGACCAATTTAGTGTCAAAATTTAATATTTTGCATGCTTGGCCCGAATGAACCAGTTTTGTTAATTGACAGAAGTGATAAGCGCAAGTTCATAACCAGCTTAAGCAGAATTCAACTTTCAAACATGAATATGGCGAAAACTGTTTATTTATGTTTATGCATTTTGTGAAGCCTTTTCACTAGTCAAACTAATTGTACTACGCAATGAGATATTGAGTTAATAATACATTAATCAAATGATTTGGAATTCAGCAGAATTTCTGATACAATGTCATATTTTGTGGTTTTATAATGAGTAATTGTTACTTTGTAGACAACGACAACTATATACATGTATACAATAGTTTTATGAAAAAAATAACAATGGCACAAGTGTGTTCTATGCCTACAACTTTAGTACTATTTAGAACTATTGCACTTTTTCATGAATGCATGTATTTATCGGTTAAGTTTGTTTCAACATAATGTTACATATTACATATTTTAGTATCTCTTTGATCTATCAATTATTAATTTTTCAAGAATAAGAAATTAACTGTACAAATTATTAGTAACATTATTATATTATAGCAATGAATAAAAAGCTTTTATATGCTGAGGATATTTTAAATAATTTTAATTATATTTTATCATGGCAGATATTTCAATGGGTATACTCCAGTTATAGCTGTAACAGATCCTGATATAATCAAGGCAGTACTAATCAAAGACTTCCAAAACTTCACAGATAGACCAGTAAGTAAATATTATAGCTATACCTGTGTATATAGTCCAGTTGGTAGCATAACATTTACAGTCATACCTGTATAACCAGACCCGTATGTAACATAACAGTTACATGCTTGCATGACGTACCCTATATTCTGTGTTTGGTCTTTATTTGATGATTTCATTTTTTATATGCCAGTAGGTTACCTTAATTGTATAATTTATAATGTGTGCCACCCTGTCTGTCAGTTAGTGACATTGTTGTTTGCCCAATACCTTGATTACAACTAGGGTTGCTGTCTTCATACTTAGAAGGAAGGATAGTCATTGGTGGTGGATGACCCCTATTTATTATGAGATCATTAGACCAAATGTCAAGGTCACGTGACATTTACTGTAAAATACTTGTCTGACCAATTACTTAAGAAAGAATGAGCCTAGGTCTGTGGAACTTGGTGGGGACATTGCTCATAGCAAGTTGATGACCCCTACAGTTTTTAGGTCAAAGGTCAAGGTCACAGTAGCACTGATTAAACTCTTTTTCTGATAAATAAACTTGTTTTAGTTGTTTTCTTTTATATTCTAAAATGACTTCAAGCACAATTTAACAGTGTACACTTTATAACAACAAATACTTTAGAGGTATGATGCTTCGACATTCAGAGCTCTTCTTAATCATTTATTTGATATTCATTTGAGACTCACATGTAGTGCAGTTAATACATTTATCATAACATTACAATATTACGGTGGCACAAAGGTGACATGTGTGTGTTTTTATATATCTCGTGGCCACGAGATACTATGTCGTGGCCACGAGTTACTAAGTCGTGGCCACGAGATAGCGAAGTCGTGGCCACGAGATACTATGTCGTGGCCACGAGTTACTAAGTCGTGGCCGCGAGATAGCTAATTCGTGGCCACGAGTTACTAAGTCGTGGCCACGATATACTATGTCGTGGCCACGAGTTACTTAGTCATGGCCACGAGATAGCTAAGTCGTGGCCACGAATTACAATGTCGTGGCCACGAGTTACTAAGTCGTGGCCACGAGATAGCTAAGTTGTGGCCACGAGATACTATGTCGTGGCCATGAGTTACTAAGTCAAGGCAACGAGATACTAGTACTATGTCGTGGCCACGAGATAGCTAAGTCGTGGCCACGAGATACTATGTTGTGGCCACGAGTTACTAAGTCGTTACTTATACATTAGTACCTCGTGGCCACGACTTAGTAACTCGTGGCCACGACTTAGTAACTCGTGGCCACGACATAGTATCTCGTAAACACGACTTAGAACACATCTGCGGATGTTTCTAAATTCAAAATTTTACTATTTCATGTTTAAATGTTGAATTCTGCTTAAGCCGGTGCTAGGGGGCGTGGACGGTAACTTATGGAAGCTTGAATTGACCCCCCGAGATGCCGTGGTCCGTGATAATTTGTATGTGGTCATGTTGACATATAATAGTGCGACATGGCGTATTTTTTCATGGTTTGGATGGGAAAAAAATATAATCTTGACAACACCCGTATCAGAGCATTTCGACTTTACTTTTGTATATCATAAAAGAGGACTGGAGCCTAATTATTATTCGGAAACTAAATCCCGCCCATCGAGTAATGATTGACGTACTGCATAACTATATCGTTGATTTCATTATTATTAAGATTTAAAGTATATCAGTCTGATGTTTATTTTCGATCTTTAATACATGTATATCAATTGAGTTATGTATAATACGCGCAGAGCATTTTGTTGAATAACCTTTCTGGAAACAAAACAAGTTAAATTACTTAAGTGCTCTTTAAATAATCTTTCGGCTAAAATTTTCAAATGAACATTTTTGAAGGTAATATGTACATACACATATATAAAATATAGAAGGTTGCTTAGCAAACACTGGCTGAAATTATTAACTGGTAAAACTGCTTGTTAAACACGCATTATATACAAACAAGCACAGATTCAAAGACCTTTCAAAGTCTAGCGAATAATACTATAGACTACAGAACTGTTCTTTAAAGAATGAATCATTCGATGTCTTTAGATTTTGGTTTGGTGGGAGGGATTTAGTTTCCGAATATTAATAAGGTCTTTCCGACAGTACACATGGTGTTATGATGTTGTGATATTTACCAAAAGCAGAGATATTACTAGGCTTGTCGAGATAAAACAGGTTGACATAGCTGTTCACAATTCTCATCAACTCCATTATGGAGAAGATTATATGTCGACATGCATTAAAACAGACGTTGTCAAGACGTCTTTAATATCCCACCAAACAATGATAAAAGGCGTCATGTCGCGTGAAAATGTGTCGACATGCCAACACACGAGTTATCACGCTTATGGCTTCTATGGGGTCAATTTAAGCTTCCATAGTAACTTGCACTTTCCAGTACCGTCCATGAACAGGCTCAATCAAACCGAGCCTGCAACATTTTCAATTTTGTCGTTTTGGGCTTTCTTTAGGGATTCTGTATTTATCTATTTTAGCTATCTCGTGGCCACGACTTAGTAACTCGTGGCCATGACATAGTATCTCGTGGCCACGACTTAGTAACTCGTGGCCACGACATAGTATCTAGTGGCCACGAGATAAATTAAAACACACACATATCACCTTTGTGCCACCGTACAATATAACTATTCATGTGAACTTAGTAACTATAAATATTTTTTTAGAGAAATATGTACTTGTATATGCTTTAGGGACTTATGAAATAAAACTGTACATAATAGCTAGTTATGTTGTGTCAAGTGAGTTTGTTTTACATAAGGTTTTTATTGTTAGTCTTTTTGAGATGGTGATAAATGAAAAATAGTCTTATTTTGTTTGTCAATTTTTTAAGTGCACTAAAATATAAGCATTATTTTTCAGCACAATGGTAACCTCCCAAAATTAATGGTAGATGGACTATTCTTCATGAAAGGACAAACATGGAAGAAAACGAGAAACATAATTACACCCACCTTCAGTGCAGGAAAGCTAAAAAATGTATCAGTGTTAAACTTTTTCTCGATAAATAAAGTACTTTATAGTGTATAAACATGTAACTGAATGGTTCAGTTTACTTATATAATTATATTTATTTACTTCAAACCTCCATGATTTCCAATTCTTCCAATGCTCAAGGCATAATTATGTAAGTTACAAGATTGCATATAGAAACACTAACCCTCTGTAAGCTTAGCATCATTATACCCCACCACAAAATGTGTGTGGGGGGGGGGGCTAAAATGGATTCGCTTTGTCGCGTAGGTCGGTCCATCCGTCTGTCGGTCCGTCCTTCTCCATTTACCAATTGAAGGATTTTCTTCAAAATTGGCTCAAATGTTCACCTCAACAAGGGGATGTGCAGAACGCATGTGTCAGCTCAAGGTCAAAGTCACAATTGAAGGTCAAATATCAAACACAATCAAATATTAGACAGTATGTCGTGTCCGCTCTATAAGTCCTACACTAATTGAAAGATTGTCTTCAAACTTGGCTCAAATGTTCACCTCAACAAGGGGATATGCAGAAACCGTTGTTGCCCATGTGTTCAGCTCAAAGGTCAAGGTCACAATTTTAAGGTCAAATATCAAACACAATCAAATATTAGACAGTATGTGTCGTGTCCGCTTTGTAAGTCCTACACTTATTGAAAAGAATTTCTTCAAACTTGGCTTCAAAATGTTCACCTCAACAAAGGGGATGTGCAGAACCTATGTTGCCCATGTGTCAGCTCAAGGTCAAGGTCACAATTGAAGGTCAAATATCAAACAATCAAATATTAGACAGTATGTCGTGTCCGCTCTGCAAGTCCTACACTAATTGAAGGATTTTCTTCAAACTTGGCTCAAATGCTCAACTCAACAAGAGGATGTGCAGAACCCATGTTGTATATGTGTCAGCTCAAGGTCAAGGACACAATTGAAGGTCAAATACTAGTATCAGACAATCAAATATTAGACAGTATGTCGTGCCTGCTCTGTAAGTCCTACACTAATTGAAGGATTTTCTACAAATTTGGCTCAAATGGTCACCTCAGCCAGGGAATGTGCAGAACTCATGTTGTCCATGTGTCAGCTCAAGGTCAAAATCACAATTTGAAGGTCAAATATCAAACAAATCAAAATATTAGACAGTATGTCGTGTCCGCTTTGTAAGTCCTATACTAATTGAAAGATTTTCTTTCAATCTTGCCTCAAATGTTCACACTCAACAAAAGGTAATGTGCAGAACCCATGTCACTATTTTGCCGACTTAATGTCAAGGTCACACTTGAAGGTCAAAAATTGGACTTAGAAAATATTCTTAAATTTTAAATATGTAATGGAATATTTCTGAATTTGCTTGAAACTTAAAATATATATGAAGTGTCACAATTAAGATATGCTGGTCAAGTTTCATAACTCTGTATTGCATTTTAACAAAGTTATGCCCCTTTTAAGTCTTCAAATTTACATACAATCAAATATTAGACAATATGTCGTGTCCGCTCTATAAATCCTTTACTAATTGAAGAAGGTTCTTCTAACTTTACTCAAATGTTCACCTCACAAGGTTATGTGCAGAATCCTTGTAACCTTTGTACCGGCTAAAGGTCAAGGTCACACTTGAAAGTCAAATATTGACTTAGAAAATATTCTTAAATTTAAACATGTACTAGAATATTTCTGAAACTAGCACAGGTATTTGCTTAAAACTTAAAAGATATATCAGGTTTTACAAATAAGATATGAAGGTCAAGATTCATAACTCTGTATTGCATTTTGACTAAGTTATGCCCCTTTTTAAGTCTTTAAATTTAAATACAATCAATTCTAATATGTCGTGTCCGCTCTATAAATTCTATACCAATGAAAGGATTTTCTTCAAACTTTACTCAAATGTTCATCCCAACTGGGCAATGTGCAGAACCCATCCTACCCTTGTGCCAACTTAAGGTCAAGGCAACACTTGAAGGTCAAATATTGACTTATATAATGTTTAGTACATTGGGAAAATGGAAGGTAATTTGTAACTGTTTCGAACATGATTTGATAAAATATATTTATACTATTACCTGCACAATTAGTCTTTTTTCACCAGAGATAATTTTTATGTATTTGTGCCACTAAAGTTATTCCCTTAGCCACCTTTTCAAGTCGTCTTCTGTCAAGGACATTGGTGGGGTATGAATCGCATTCAGCGATAGTTTTTGTTTTATGATGTTCTATGTCTGTAGTTGAACTATTTGATGAGTAAGAGTTTCACTGTCAGTGTGCTTGACCACTCAGGTAAGGATGGCCCCAGTTACGATCTTTAATGTTTTTAAGTCTGTAACTGTGATTTAAACTAAAATCTTATCAGCATAACAGAATTCAGATGTCAGGTAACTCTGCAGTTACTCTTCATGCCAAAAAGTTTTACTGAAATATGGGAGTGCTTCAAAATTAGAAATGTATACAAATATATGTTTGTAAAGGAAACAGATGATAGACAAATCCTCTTCTATACATGTATTTACTGGTTTTAGTATTTTTTTTTCACCTCAGCTTGTGCCCATTATCAACAAATGTGCTGAAACTTGCATCAATAAATTAGAAAAAGAGATTGGAAAAGATGTGACTGTTAGAAGGTAAGACTTGACTTACCTGCTAGAATTAAGAGGGTGAGGCAGAAGGTATGGCATTGTATTGGTTGAAGATTGTTGCAATTTGTTGAAATTCATTAATATGATAGTTTTATGGAGAAATAATGATGTATGTATTACTACAGTCATGTTGTCATTCCCGTTGCTGTTGATGTCCTGAAACTTTAACAATCACTATTTTTTTTTATTTCTGAATTGATTGACCACAACAACCTATTTTGCTCTAATTGGCTATGACTTTGTTATTTATAGATGGATTGTCTTCATATTTGAGCACAACTACCTTAAGGACAAGGTGTCAAAGAAGATTAGACTTAATTTGACATTGACTCATAAATAACCTTGACCTTAAAGGTCAAATTAATGTAATTTATAATTGGCTATAACTTTGTAATATATATATATGGATTGTCTTTACTTAAAATTCTGTTTATCTTTATACTTGTGTGCAACGTGTGACAAGGCATTAATTTTCTTTAAGTGAACTTGATCTTGACCTTAATTTAACCTTGATACTATGGGTGAAATTAGTGAATTTTACTACAATTGGTCATAATTTTATTATTTATTTATATCTTTGATTTATACTCGGACAAAAGAAGAGCCATAACAAAACTAGCATGTTTAGTTTTTTGTGTTTTTTTAATTACCATGACCTGTATATGACCTTGACAATATTCTCCGTCTGATGTATTTGACTTTAAAAATAAGAAAAAGTTGGGTGTGGTCCCCGCTAGGCGGCCCTCTTGTTAAGTGAAATTATTGATTTCTGCAGAAAAACTTTTCAAGGATTTCAAAGATTGAGTTTATATTTAGCATGTAAGTATGCTTTATCATAATGATCAATTATATTCTATTTTTAATATGTTAACTTGCTACCTAGAAAAAAATTAGACTGTATAATTATTTTCTTTTACATTTAATGGGAATGTCATAATCTGAACCATTGACAAAAATTTGAGCAGAAGATAATAGATTATTGACTTGGATTATGATAGGTGCATTAACAACTGGTATTTAGAAATAAAAACTATAATTGGCGTCCGCGCCGAAGCGCGGCGCCCCTTATGGAATGAAATCAGATTTTGTGAAAGGGCGACAGCAACTTCTCGAGCCTTTTAGTCTCATAATAAAAGCCGATCATTCCGATCGGTATGAGGGTGCTTGCATGAAATGTCGCGATATGTACAATGAATAGCGAACTGGAGAATTTCGCAATGCAAAACATTTTCAAATGCAATAACCTTTTCCGTCAATAAATAGCGCTCTTCGGGGCTTTTTATTTATCATTTTGTAGTACACAGTGGGTTATTATGGTATGTTATTGTTGTACATGTATCCGAAAGCTGTAAATAGAATGATGAGTTGATGACCTAAACATTCCGAAAATCTATTTATAGAGGGATGTACTCCTATCGGTAAGTCCCGGTCTCTCACGGTCTATTTTGACCGGGATTTATCAGTGACCGGCGAGTAGTATCACACGCTTATTGTCCGGTCTCTCCCGGTTTTGGAGTAGATGTTTGATATCGTTACAGAACAGAACAAATATTTTACAGATAAATAAGCTTTTTTTCCAAAATGAATGTTTGTCACTTAGTTTGGTTACAATAATTAATAAACACGGATCAACTCTCAAATTTATTGATTATTATTATACGTAAACATACAATTCGAATAAAATCCAACAACCGCATGTTTCATTTTATCTATATGAGATAAAAACAATAAATATGTACAAAAATTGAGAAAAATTAAAATGTACATTTTTATGGTACATTGTATTAATATGACACTATCAACTTTGAAACATTTTATTTAATTTGTTATTCGTGTTTAGTAAAGATGCCGAGGAATTATTCAAAGTTTATGAATTATTCAATTGATTGATAATTTAAAAAATGATAAAGAAAAATACAAATGTACATGTACATGGTTTAAGAATAAACAATATTATATATTGAAAGAATAACCATAATTTTCTGACTTTTTCCAGTTAAGTTTTGACTTATAATCGTCGGTCAATATGACAATTGAATTCTTTTACAATTTTAATAAAAAAAGAGAAGTAAACGTAAAATCTCAGTTTTAAAATAGCACATAAAACACAAAAAAGAAAAGAAAACAATATTAATTAAATCTGTATTTTTTTTTATTAAAATAGATCTTACAATTATTGTATAATAAACAATTATGCTCAACATGATCAACATGGTAATATAACCAGTGTCATATTGTTACTAAATGTGAACAGATACCTTAAGAGGGGATTCTTCGCTAATAGCGATAACATAATAAGGGACAATTACACAAGTGTGGTGTTGATCATGCGTTGCATGGATTATAAATGATTGTATAAATGTATATCCGTTGCTTTTAATAATCACGAGCATAAAGAAATAACAAGTAATATTCTAATCTCTAGCATGCCAATCAAAGTTCATAATGAACAATGTCTTTCGTCCGTTCATTCATAAGTGATATACAATTCTGGTAAAAACCAATTAACCATTGAAAAGATTATAAGAATATCTTGTCATCATATGTCTACTAGTTCATCTTCACCTGCTGCATTTCTTGCTTGGACGCCCTTTGATGCTTTGCATCAATGCTTTTCTTGTACATAAACTAGGATAACTAGATAATTTTGAACAAAAATAGTGATCACTATAAAAACTGCTCATTCAAAATTAAGAGAACTTTATTCCAACTCATGGTTAAACAGTATCAAAAATGTCTCAAAATACGACTGTATATCTTTAAATGATAAATTCACCACTGAAGAATATGTTAAAGTGAACGTATAAAAAAACAAGAGATCTCTACTTCAGATGTAGAATCATACCTGTCTGCTTTAAAATTATGTGCTATATTGGTGAAAACCCCAAACAGGGACTTTGTACCTTCTGTGATATATAAGAAATTGAGGACGAAAAACATTTCCCTTTAGTGTGTCCTTTCTATGACCATATACAAAATGAATGTTTTCATGATTTAAACCTTGAGCTTAATAATTCAGTGACAATCAAAAATGAATTTATAACGTTAATGAACAATTTCCCCAAGAAAAGTAGGAAATACTTAGTGAAGGCATACTGTTAAAAGGTGAAACTCTTTTTACAGTAATACAAAGTACATTATATTATATATTTGAAAGTTTGTGCACAACCAATGACATTGTATGACATTTCTTCTAAGTTATAAATATGTGTTATAAGCAATATTTCTTTCCTTTAAATATGTGTTAAAAAATTTTGTTGAACTATGCGAACTATTGAAACACTTCTAATTTAAAAGTGACCTAGACACATTGGGCTGTGTGTTTATATCAATATGTTATTGTGTAATTGTTATTACATGTACACATGTCACTATAATAAAAGATTTACTTACTTTACTTACTTATATTGACCTACTTAAGCGGAGCACTAGTTATTTTTGTACTTCAGTGCACATGTCTTGAAAAAACATTTACTTTACATTGAATGCTGTTATAAACAATTTAGTGATAAACGTTTTATATTTCACAGTGATATTAAATGCATGAATGCTCTATTTTTTACAGTTGGTTTGTATGTTTTACAATGGATGCTATTGCATCTACAGCCTTTGGTATAGAAATAGATTCCCAGAAACAACATGATGATCCATTTGTTAGAAACCTGGAGAAAATCTTTAAGATGGCCCGGTTGAAAAGGATTCCTATATTTCTATCAGGTATATTTCCTTTATCATAATTACATATTTTCATTATCTGAGTGGAAAATTTAAAAGAAGATCATTGATTATTTTCAGTTATTAAAATTGGTTAATAGCTCTGTAACTCTTAACTAAGTTGTTCCCATTTTTACAAAGGAATTTTTTATACCCCACTAATAATGTTCTCTCATTCCAAATTCTGACAGACTGAATACTGAATTTAACTTTGGCCATAATATTTTCAGTTACTAGAGCAGTCAAACTTGGACATAACATACCTCTAAATTAAAATATTATAATGAGCTTATTCTTTTTAATGAAATTTACAAAATTCAAGAAATATCACTAAAACTGATATATTATTAATATTTTAGAATAAGGGGTATTTGGAACATTTTTGTGTTTCCTGGTCCTTGAATAAAAATCTTGTTTTTGCCTATTAATAATTGGTGTGTCCCCTGCTTCACAATAGCTACAACATGCAATTGCCTATTGCCTATCTCGAGGTGACACATGATCACTGATCCCTCTTGTTTTAATTAATTTGCACACTGTTCTGTTTTTATACTCCTGTTTGGAATATAATTCTCCAACATGAGGAGCTCTTGTTTTGGACTGAGATATTATTTGAAAAATTCATCATATTGTGTATATACCTTGCACATGTATAGATATATAAATATGATTTTTTTATATTTGAAGCAATGATACCGCCTCTAGGAAAATGGTTGTATAAGATAGGGATCACCACATGGCCTACAGAATGTGTCAACTTTTATAATGATATAGGGCAGGCCTTGATTGATGAAAGAAGGAAAAATAAAATGGTATATCGTTATGTATATAGTCATTTTTAGACCAGTTGTTCTGCCCGCACTCCAAATAAATCTATTATAGGCCTATATGTAAACTTGCCCAGAAATTGTGTCAGCTTTTTTCATTATGTTTATACTTAATTTAACCAGGCTCGTCTTGCTCTATTGTTGTGGCTTAGACATGGTAATTAGAAAACTATGGTATCAAGATGAAGTATAACAATTAACATAAACAATAATTATTGTGAATGGTACTGAAAAATATTTGTTTTGTTTGGTACATATTGATAAAATACTCAAAGCTGTATGTCATTATGATTTATAGTAAAGAAACATTGATATCTCATATTTTCATTTTCTAAACCATGGGGTATTTCAGTTTTGTAAGACAGACCTGTTTCTCTTTTCTTAATCGGTGAAATTTCTGCAATTTTTTATTTAACAGGACAGAGTGGACTTCATACAAATGTTGGTGGATGCAGATTTTGATAATACAAAAGAGGGGTATATGAAAAATGAGATTATAATGTCCAACGGAGCTTCTAATTGTCATCATGTTCATAATCTACAAAGTATGAGTTTATTTGATAATAGTAATATAACAAGTGTTAGTAGATATTGTTGCTAGGCAAAAATAAAATCAGTATACAATGAGGGATTGTAATGTATTTATGATATGTACATTTAAAAGTTGATTTGGAACTTTGAGCAACTTGAATTTATCATTTTAAAATTTGCTGTTGGTAACAGATAGAGAAACACAATTGTAAACCAAGTAGGGCTTGAATTCACAGTCCCACACTCTCTACATAATTTTATGTATGCTCTTCCCCATGGAAATTATAAGTTGCCCCATTTGACCTTCCTTAACTTCCTTCCATCTTTCCATCACATTTACTAATCCTTTCTCAAAGTGCTTAAGTTCACTCACCATCTGGTGTTCATCCTTCCATACTTCACTTTAAACATTAACATCTCTTTCCAAAGCACTGGGTCAATATCATCCAAACTTAAAAAAAATGTTTCTTGGGTAATCCTCTTTCAAAGTTACCCATTCAAACCTCGGGTTTCTAAGCCAACCAAAAGGAAAAACTATAGAAATCTGAAAAGTCCTTGTCAAATAGATTTAAACAGTGTTTCAAAGAAAAAAATGTGTGACATTTTATCAAAATCCCAGTTTGTCTAAAAGATATGTTGTCTTTTATCCTATATGTTTTCAGGAAAATATTTGAAGATCTCCTTGTAAAGAATCACTTTTCAATATGTATATCAAGAAACAATTGAAAATTTAACAGAAATTTATTATAGGGTGACTGTCTCCCAAGATTGCCGAACAAACATCCCCATTACAGGATGAGGTTGTGTTCCCTTATGTGTTTATCATTTTACAACATATCTTACTATTAATCCAGATAAATATATCAGGGTCGATGTATGCATTCATGAAAAATGTATGTAATGTTATAACATAGATTTTGACATATAGGGTTGACTGATGATGAAATAAAAGGTCAAGCATTTGTATTCTTTCTTGCTGGGTTTGAGACAACAGCCAGTCTGTTACGTTACTCAGCTTATGTCCTGGCATTTCATCCTGAACTAGATTCACAACTATATGATGAGATACAGAAATACATTGGGCAGGTATGTACACTTGAAAACTTTCTAACTGGAGAATAAAGATAAAGCAGTTGTATTTCATATTGCTGCATATAAGTATAGAGTCCTGCTTTTACACATTTTTCAATTACTTTTATTTATGCATTTCATTTTAGATTGATTGATTTTGGGAAAGAAATACAAAAACATACAAGATAAAAGCTCAACAGTGATTTTTATGTAGGCAGCCATAAACCTGTCCTTGTTTTTTTTCTAAGCAGCCAAATTCTACCCTATATATATATCACAGTTAACATGTTGCTATGACAATGATTTGACAATGTTGTTATATATTGTAGGATGATCCAGACTATGACAGTATAAATGATTTAAAGTTCATGGATCAGTTTATTTATGAGGTGCTCAGATTTTACCCTCCAGTTCCAAGGTAACATATGTATGATATATTCATAATAATTTACAACATAAACTTTATTCTTCATGAAGCATGAAGAGAACTGTTATCCTGTTATACCAGTGTATTGGACATGAAGACCTTTTACCCTGTTATACACGTGTATTGGACGTGAAGAACTTTTACCCTGTTATACACGTGTATAGGACATGCCCAGCATAGAACTTGGAAATGTATATAAATTCACTTACTTCCATAATGTAACTCTTACCTAGTGCTAGCCGCGATCGAATTCTCTCAACCAGTGCAGACCAAAATCAGCCAGCATGTCTACCACCTGAATCATAATTTGCAATAATTGCTACTCGGTTAGTAAATATTTTGAAATATACCCTAATACCAGTAAATATGAGTGTCCTGGTCTCAAGATTATAAAATTTTTACTGAGTTCTGTCTCAGATCTCAGGATTTTCTTTGGCCAGTGAACATTCTGTGACAATTTCTGACCAATCAAATGCCTGAGATCTGAGTTTCAGCTATGAAATTTTTTTTTATAACCTCGGACCCAGATTGAAAGGTGGAAAAGTTCATTCAAGATGTTTAGTGTGGTAGGGTTTATATACATTTAAATGTCAATTTTAAACAGACATTAGAAAAAAAGCTAACATCTCTTTGTGCTAGTGAAATACATTGTAGTTAAACATTATAACAACTAGTTGTCAGAGTTAAATAAAATGAATTAAGTGTGTTGACAACACATGTCAAATAAGCAGGGTAACAAAAATAGTATAAAGTTATGATTGTTTCTTAAGGCTATATTTTAGATGGTGGTAAAGGATTTAAGTAAAATAACATTGCCTTCGCTCAGATTTTTGTAGATTAATATTAAAGGAACTCCACTGTGGTCCAAAGCCTAAAAACCTGAAAGTTGAATTTCTTACATAAGTTAACCAGGGCACTTACAACAGAAAGATATGCTAAAGATAATTAAGAAATAAACTCATATTTTTTTGCTATATTTAGCTCAATATGAGTGAAAAGCAATAATAATTTGCAGTGTTTTCAACTTTGGTCATTTTTTACAAATAGAATAACTATTTTGGAGAAATGGAGTGAGCAAATTTTCCACAGAAGTTATTGGTCTAGACATACATCAAATGGAACATTAATCTTGAAAAGTTACTTCCAGGCCCAACATTGCTTATCAGACATTAGATTAGTCAGAGCCCAGCTTGAATATGGTTCTGAAGTATGGCCTCCCCTACACCAAAATAGAAATAGATCATATTGAAAATGTCCAAAGAAGAGCAACCGGATGGATCAAACTAGATTATGGTCAGACCTCTAGCGTCATGGACATGCTTCACTCCCTTAAGCTTCGAAAACTCAAACTCAGACATATAGATACTTGGTTATCCCTTTTCTAAAAGATTCACCATGGTTTGGTTGCTATCCCTATAGAAGAATATTTGACACTCCTCTACCGAATATCATATCATGGCCATCCCCTGTGTAAAAGGTTATTCAAAGCAACTTCAGACTATTATAAATTGTCTTTCTTTCCTAGGACAGTATACCACTGGAACCAACTACCCCCTGCGGTTGCCCTACTCCATAGCCCAGAGCAGTTCAGTGCAGTCATAGTTTACATTAAACATGTCTCACCCTAGTTTTTCAGCCCCTTGTTTTTAACATTTTTAAAATTCTTTTATCCTCTTTATTCAACGTATTTTAAATCTTTTTTGTGATTTTGGCGCACAGACATGTCTATGTCCGCTGGAGGGATTTGACATTAATGGAAGATCGATAGATGTAAAAAAAAAATCAAACTCATTGGAGTTCTTTTAATGCTGCACCTGTAAAGGACATAAAGAAAGGGCCATACTATCATGTTGCTATTATATGTTAATCATGTATTGACAGGCTATTTAGGAAGGCTCATGAAGAGATAACAGTTGGAGGAATAACCATACCTAAAGGTACATCAATACATATACCTGTGTGGAACGTTCATCATAGTGAGGAAAATTACCCTGATTCAGAGGCATTTAAACCTGAGAGGTATCCTGTATCTTTAATTCATTATAAAATCTTTACTATATTCATTTTGTTCAATTTTTATATTCCCGAAAGAATTTCGGGCATATTATGTTATACCCCCTGGCGTCCGTCCATCTGTCCGAGCCCACGAGAGGGTATATGTTGGGTACTAAATACCCAACAACTACCAATCCTACTCACTTCGTAATGTATTGTAGGGTATTTTTAATGAATTTTGATGTATTGTTGGGTACTTTTTTACGCAGTAAAATACCCAACAAGAATACAAATGTAAGGACGTCCGTCAATCCGTCCGTCCGTCCGTTAGCAGTTTGGTTTCCGGAGCATAACCTAAGTTCCATTTGGCCCACAATATTCAAACTTCATAGGATGATTGTCCATATTGGGTAGAAGCCCCCTATTGATTTTGGGATCACACGGTCAAAGGTCAAGGTGTTTATGACCTTAAAACTGAAAACAGTTTCCGGAGCATAACTTAAGTCCCATTTGGCCCACAGTGTTCAAACTTCATAGGATGATTGTCCATATTGGGTAGAAGACCCCTATTTATTTTGGGGTCACAAGGTCAAAGATCAATGTCACTATGACCGTAAAACTGAAAACAGTTTCCGGAGCATAACTTAAGTCCAATCTGGCCCACAGTGTTCAATCTTCATAGGATGATTGTCCATATTAGGTAGAAGATCCCTATTGATTTTGGGATCACAATGTCAAAGGTCAATGTCACTATGACCTTAAAACTGAACACAGTTTCCGGAGTATAACTTAACTCCCATTTGGCCAACAGTGTTCAAACTTCATAGGATAATTGTCCATATTGGGTAAAATACCCCTATTGATATTGGGGTCACAAGGTCAAAGTCACTATGACCTTAAAACTGAAAACAGTTTCCGGAGCATAACTAAAGTCCCATTTGGCCAACAGTGTTCAAACTTCATAGGATGATTGTCCATATTGGGTAGAAGACCCCTATTGATTTTGGGGTCACAAGGTCAAAGTCACTATTACCTTAAAACTGAAGACAGTTTCTTGAGCATAACTTAAGTTCCATTTGGCCCACAGTGTTCAATCTTCATAGGATGATTGTCAATATTGGGTAGAAGACGCCTATTGATTTCGAGGTCACAAGGTCAAAGGTCAAGGCCACTATTACCTTAAAACTAAAAACAGTTTCGGAGCATAACTAAAGTTCCATTTGGCCCACAGTGTTCAAACGTCATAGGATTATTGTCCATATTGGGTAGAATACCCCTATTGATTTTGGGATCACTAGATCAAAGGTCAAGGTCACTATTACTTTGAAATTGAAAACAGTTTCTTGAGTATTAATTAAGTTCCATTTAGCCCACAATATTCAAACTTCATAGGATGATTGTCCATATTAGGTAGAATACCCCTATTGATTTTGGGGTCACAAGGTCAAAGGTCAAGGTCACTATTACCTTAAAACTGAAAACAGTTTCCGGGGCATAACTTGGACCACAATATTCAAACTTCATAGGAGGATTGTTATTTGAAGGAGGTAATACTTTATTAAATTCCAATGTCTTATAAATGCTTCATCTTTACTAAAAAAATCACTTTCGGGCATATAATGCTCCGCCTAGCGGTGCTCTTGTTGTTTTTATCTTGTCAGCAACAGTTATGGCTTAAAAAAGGATATTATTCGACTTTGGTGCTGCTTATGCCTTAAATGATGCAGAGGCCCACTCTGTGTCATTCTTAGTGGCCATGGTTATATATTTTTAAGATATTTAGAAGGTCTTATATTCTATCAATAGAACATCACAGCTTTTTTCCATCAGTAATGCATCAGTCTTCTTACTGCAGTTATTCCGAAAAACTAATCATATAAAATAAACGTATTGGTGTGACTTTATTAAGAGGTAATACATTTGTATTTATTTTTCAGTAAATGACATTTCTTGATATTTTAGATTTGCTCAGGGAAAGAAAGGGGCTACAGAAAAAATCACATTTTTACCATTTGGTACAGGGCCGAGAAATTGTATTGGAATGAGACTAGCACTTGTTGAGGCCAAGATTGCTCTTGTTTATATGTTACGGAAAATTAGATTTGTCAAATGTGAAAAAACACAGGTACGTGTATTGATTTTTCACGTTACTATATATACAGCAAAAACTGAATTCTAGGTTTAAGCTGATCAATTAACAGGGTTTTTAATTAAACATCAGACGATACTAGAAAGAAAAGACTCTTATACAAAAATGTAATAAATTTATTACAAAAATCAGGGTCTTTCAAATAGAAAGATCCTGCAAAAATGTAATAAATATATAATATGTTTATTTGTATGGCAAGTCATGCCTGAAAAATTCATAAAAAGACAACATGAGTATAGAAAATAGATGAGGGTCATCAATCTGTTTATAGTTGTAACAGTTCACTGTATTTTTATTTCATTCATTTAGGTGAACTAAATCTAGGAAAAATAAAGATATTAGCTGTGACTATCCATTCACTTTGTTCAAAAGTTCAGTGTACAAATATACATGTACATTGTATCCACAAAGTACTTTATACCTGTATGAAGGTTGTATCAGGAATGTCAGTTACAAATAATGCTAACATATGACAAGTCTGTTTGCATATAACTATCAGTCAGTTGAAGCACTTACTTAGATGGATGGTCTAAGTTAGAATATTTCATTAATCACAAATATTCTTATGCCCCTAAGGGTGATATTTAGTTATTTAATTGTCCTTCTGTCTGCCTGTATTTTGTCTTGCCAATAACTTTTATTTTGTAATTATTTTGCATAAATGTGTAAAAAATTGAGACAATATGTTGCATGAAAGACCCAGATTTGTAAGTCAAAGGTCAAGGTCACATTTAAATTGAAAGGAAGATTTAAAAACAAAAGTGTATTGATAATTGTGTCTAGTTGACAATTTTTTCATTCCTTGGTTGATTTGAAAATAGCTTGAATTAAATGTGTTGAACATGATGATGTTATGTTGCAATAACCAGATCTTCATTTCATCTTAAAGGTCAAGGTCACAATCTTACATCAAAAGTCATGTATAAAAATTTCTTTATAATGGCTATAAGAAGTCAAATTATTCATGCATCCCTAGGCTCACCTAGTGTTCATGCACCCCCCAGGCCCACTAAATGTTCATGCACCCCAAGGCTGACCTGATTCCCATGCATCCCCAAAGCTGACCTAGTGTTTATGCATCCCCCAGGCTCCTCTAGTGTTCATGCATCCCCCAGGCACACCTGGTGTTCATGCATTCAATAGGCTCACCTAGTGTTCATGCATCCCCCAGGCTCACCTAGTGATCATGCATCCCCCAGGCTCACCTTGTGTTCATGCATCCCCAGGCTCACCTAGTGTTCATGCATCCCCCAGGCACACCTGGTGTTCATGTATCCTCCAGGCTCACTTAGTCTTCATGCATCCCCCAGGCTTACCTGGTGTTCATGCATCCCCCAGGCTCACCTAGTCTTCATGCATCCCATAGGCACACCTGGTCTTCATGCAACCCCAAGGCACACCTGGTGTTCATGCATCCTCCAGGTACACCTGTCGTTCATGCATCCCATAGGCACACTTGGTCTTCATGCATCCCCAAGGCACACCTAGTGTTCATGCATCCCCCAAGCACACCTGGTGTTCATGCATCCCCCAGACTCACCTAGTGTTCATGCATCCCATAGGCACACCTGGTCTTCATGCAACCCCAAGGCACATCTGGTGTTCATGCATCCTCCAGGTACACCTGTCGTTCATGCATCCCATAGGCACACTTGGTCTTCATGCATCCCCCAGGCACACCTAGTATGCATGCATCCCCCAAGCACACCCGGTGTTCATGCATCCCCCAGACTCACCTAGTGTCCATGCATCCCACAGGTAAATGTGGTCTTCATGCAACCCCCAGGCACACCTAGTGTTCATGCATCCCACAGGAACACGTGCTTTTCATGCATCCCAAGGCACACCTGGTGTTCATGCACCCCAAAGGCTGACCTGATTTTCATGCACCACCAAGGCTGACCTAGTGTTCATGCATTCCCTTGACTAATCTTGCATCACCCAAGTTGACTTGGGTTTTTGAATACTCCAGACTAATCATGTGTCTATCCACTCAAGGGACAAACCAGAGATTCATAGTGTCCTTACAACCCTCAGAACATCCTTGTCTCCTTGCATGTCCCAGAATAACCTGATTTTCATGCATCCCTCAAGCTTACTAGGGGTCCAGGCATCCCTAAGACTTGAGGCCTTGCACTTTCCAGGTTAACTAGGGGTCCTGGTATCACTCAGTTAACTAGGGGCCATAATATTACTCAGGTTAACTTAGGGGTCCTTGTATCACTCAGGTTAACTAAGGGTCCTGATATCACTCAGGTTAACTAGGGTCCTTGTATCACTCAGGTCAACTAGGGGCCCTTGTATCATTCAGGTTAACTAGGGGTCCTGATATCACTCAAGTTAACTAGGGGTCATTGTATCATTCAGGTTAACTAGGGAACCTTGTATCACTCAGGTTAACTAGGGATCCTTGTATCAGTCAGGTTAACTAGGGGTCCTGGTATCCTCTAAGCTTACCAGGAGTTCTTATATTCATCAAGTTAACTAGGGGTCCTTGCATCCCCCAAGCTAACCAAGGTTTTTTTCATTTAGCAAGTTTACTATGCGTTTTGCATAAATTATCAAGCTTACTAGTGGTTCTTGCCTCCGGGTCCCCTATTCTTGCCAATGCTTTATTTTCAGCTTTTCCGAATTGTTTAAACATGCATTTCTTGATCATTAATTTTTTCCTATTTTTCATGAAAATATCCATCAGAAATACAATTTATCTCTATTGATAAAAGTTATGTGTTTTTAGTCCCCTACCGGTTTTCCGGAGGGGACTTTAGGTTTACCCTCCGTCCGTCTGTCTGTCCGTCCGTCCGTCCGGACCTCTGTCCGTCCGTCAGTCCGTCCACAAAACTGGATCCCGCGATAACGCAAAAAGTACTGAAAATATTTTTATGAAACTTGATATAATTGGATAGATGGCAGTATGGAGATTATGCACGTCTTTTTCTTTTTTTCCTATGCTGAAAATTCTGGTTGCTATGGCAACAAATAGACTGAAAATATGGCAAATTTTACACAAAACCTGGATCCAGTGATAACGCAGAAGTACTGAAAATATTTTTATGAAACTTGACATATGGGTAGATGGCAGTCTGGAAATTATGCACATCCTTTTCTTATCTTCCTATGTTGAAAATTCTGGTTGCTATGGCAACAAATGGACTGAATTTCAAGATTTCTGAATTTAGTTTTTTAAGTTTTTTCACTATAAGTTCTTTATTTCTTAAGGTATTATCTTCAAACTTTATATATAAGTTGCTAGTCATCAACCACATCATATGTGACAAAGTTTACAACTCTAGCACAAAATTTATTAGAATTACCTCCCTTGAACTTAAAATGTTCATGAAAAAAAAATATTGTTTTTTTTAATAACTTCTTTTTTTCTGAATGTATCTACTTCAAACTTCATATATATGTTTCTTATTATCACTTAACATTTGTGAGAAAGTTCAATACTCTAGCAAGACTATTTCCAGAATTATGCCCCTTTTGAACTTTTTTTACAGAAATTGGTAATTTTTACTCAACTTCTTCAATCATGATAGGATTTTCTTCAAACTCCCACATCATAATAATATGACAAGGTTTATAAATCTAGCATCCATATTTCCAAAGTTATCTCCTCCTTAAACTTTTAATTTTTCTTATTCGTTCTTTTAACTTTCATTTACTTCAAATTAAAAATAACCATTCTTTATTCATACGTTCAATACTAATTGTTCTTTGTTACACTCACATCAGGTATGACATCTTGCATCTTTATTTCAAGAGTTATCTCCTTTTTAAAAATTTTGCTTTTAAAAATGTTATATTTTGATAACAGGGATGTTTGTAGAGTGTCCTTCAGTCCGTCTGTCTGTACATTAAAACTGTTTCCTGTGATCACTTTTAAAGAACTTTTTCAACAAATTTACTTAAAAAAAAACATAAGTGAATTGCCAATGGCCCTTCAGAATGTTGCTGGGGTTCTAACCGGTAGGGGATTTATGGATTGCTTGCAATACTATGATAATTGCTTATTTTTCTTATTCGTTCTTTTAACTTTCATTTACTTCAAATTCAAAATAAACATTCATTATTCATACCTTCATTACTAATTGTTCTTTGTTACACTCACATCATGTATGAAATCTTTCATCTTTATTTTAAGAGTTATCTCCTTTTTTAAAATTTTGCTTTTAAAAATGTTATATTTTGATAACAGGGATGTTGAAAAAATAACTGTAGAGTGTCCTTCAGTCGGTCTGTCTGTACATAAAAACTGTTTCCTGCACGATCACTTTTAAAGAACTTTTTCAACAAATTTACTTAAAATAGAAACATAAGTGAATGGCCAATGGCCCATCAGAATGTTGCTGGGGTTCAGAATGTTGCTGGGGTTCTAACCGGTAGGGGACTTATGGATTGCTTGCAATACTATGATAATTGCTTGTTATTATAGGATCCACCATTGAATCTGCGACATTTCAATTTACTGTATCCAGCAACACCAATCCAGGTGAGGATAGAGGCAAGGTAATCACCACAACACCTGTGTAAACTATAAACTATAATGACGAATAAAATAAACGACTAATTGTCTATTTTCTTCTTTACTTTTATTTAAGAAACGTATATAAACCTAGTCTGGATTACCTGCCCTTTTCTCTCCGTTCAATAGTAAATTTTATAGTACGACAGGAACCAGACTAATATAAAACGTTCAAACTGCGTAGTAGTCCGGAGTATATCCGAATCACACAATGAGCGGAAATTACAGAAAAGAATGAACGAAAATAATTTACCGAAAAGAACATTATATAAACCAGAATGGGCCCTTGTTTTAAGTAAAAATAAAATACAATTATCTTCAGCACAACCTGCCAAGTTTGAAATGTGATAACAGGTTGAATGAGATCTTCTAACCAAAGAACATAAACAGTTCATTATTATCTCATTATTCTGTTTATATAGAAATGTATATAAACTTTGAGCTCCACATCAGTTAAATCAATATTATAATATAACATTTTATTTGGTTGGGCATAGGATATATATTGGACATACATTTTATTGTACTTTGTTTTTTAAATTAATCATTTCATTAAATGAACTTTTTTCGAAAGTTATTCCTAATAAGATAATTCTTGGGAATGTAGCTATCCTTAAATTAAACTTGTAGAATGAAATATTTAATTTCTTGTTGTTGCCTTGTGCCTATAAGAGTATAATAGAGCAAATGTAGCTATCCTTAAAATTGTAGAATGAAATATTTAATTTCTTGTTGTTGCCTTGTGCATATAAAGAGAGTATAATTTGAGCATTAAAGATCAAATAAATGTTTTCTTTCTTTATTATCTGTTTTACAAACAAAGTATATATGTGTCATTGTTGTATCGATCAAGAACTGTTAACTTTGTGTATGTTTCTGTTAAAGAGTGGTTGTACAATTGTTTTATATAATGATTTATGTAAATGTGTTGTTTAGCTATATGTTGTTTTATAAGTCCTGAGGCACCAGTTTCCTGTTCTCTGTGCTCTGATGATTTTCTAAACTTGATGGTTGTTTGTCCACATTTAATCGTCTTATAATAGCAGTTCTGTGTGGAGTGTTGGTACTTGTCAAGAATGTGTATAGTTTTATGATAAAATTAAATGTCTTTTGCTTTGTCTACACAATGGCTGTATCATTTACAGAACCAAACTTGCACAGGTATTGTATTACCTAAAGATTTTGTTTTTATCTTACCTGACCAGGTGAGCTTTTGTGATCTCAGTCAGAGTTGTTTTTAGACAACATCCTCTCAACTTTACAATTTGACAAGAATGATCGTTAGGGTGGTTGCCCTCCACAAAAGTAATGTAAATGGTTTCAGTCTCATGCACAAGAAGGTCTCGTGAGCTAAAAATAAACTTAAAAAATGAAATCTTCTTCTCCAAAACTGCTATACTCAGAGCTTAGATCTGTTGCATGTATGAGACCTTGTGGTCCTCTACTTATCATGGCACAGTCCCAAAATTGTTCCATAACCAAGCTTTTGATTTGTTTTGAAAATTCGCCTATTGACCAATCCACTTAAGAAAAGTTAGTTTTGAAAAAGAAAACTTGCAGATTAAAAAAAGCTCCATTCCCTAATCAAATGTTGTTAAGTCTAGCAATTTTCTGCATGATAAACTAGAAATGTGTCCATAGGACACGGGTGCCCCCACCGCGCCACTTTTCTGTCAATCTTTTTACTAAGTCAAGGGAAATAACTCTACAAATACTGGATAAATCCACAAGCGAAACCCCAGGTGCAAATCTAAATATGCTGAGCAACCTGCCCATAAGGTTTAATGACTATGTCAAATCCTTTTTGAGTAACTTGAGACACAAGTTGAAAATTGCAAAAATTTTCTAAGTGAAAGGCAATAACTCTAAAAATGCTAAATAAATCCAGACGAAAATACCTGGTGCACAACTGCACATGCTGATCAATATTCCTGTAAAGTTACATGACTCTAGGTCAAATACTTTTTGAGTTACGTGCCACACATGTTGAAAATTGCAAAATTTTACTAAGTCAAGGGCAATAATTCTGAAAATACTAGAAATATCCAGACGAAAATACCCAGGTGCACAACAACACATGCTGATCAACATTCCTGTAAAGTTTCATGACTCTAGGTCAAATACTTTTTGAGTTACATGCGACACAAGTTGAAAATTGCAAAATTTTACTAAGTCAAGGGCAATAACTCTGAAAATACTAGAAATATCCAGACGAAAATACCCAGGTGCATACAACACATGCTGATCAACATTCCTGTAAAGTTTCATGACTCTAGGTCAAATACTTTTTGAGTTACATGCGACACAAGTTGAAAATTGCAAAATTTTACTAAGTCAAGGGCAATAACTCTGAAAATACTAAAAATATCCAGACGAAAATACCCAGGTGCACAACAACACATGCTGATCAACATTCCTGTAAAGTTTCATGACTCTAGGTCAAATACTTTTTGAGTTACATGCGACACAAGTTGAAAATTGCAAAATTTTACTAAGTCAAGGGCAATAACTCTGAAAATACTAAAAATATCCACACGAAAATACCCAGGTGCACAACAACACATGCTGATCAACATTCCTGTAAAGTTTCATGACTCTAGGTCAAATACTTTTTGAGTTACGTGCGACACAAGTTGAAAATTGCAAAATTTTACTAAGTCAAGGGCAATAACTCTGAAAATACTAAAAATATACATACGAAAATACCCAGGTGCACAACTACACATGCTGATCAACATTCCTGTGAAGTTTCATGACTCTAGGTCAAATACTTTTTGAGTTACGTGCGAAACAAGTTGAAAATTGCAAAATTTTACTAAATCAAGGGCAATAACTCTGAAAATACTATAAATATCCACACGAAAATACCCAGGTGCACAACTACACATGCTGATCAACATTCCTGTAAAGTTTCATGACTCTAGGTCAAATACTTTTTGAGTTACGTGCGACACAAGTTGAAAATTGCAACATCTACTAAGTCAAGGGCAATAACTCTGAAAATACTAAAAATATCCAGACGAAAATACCCAGGTGCACAACTACACATGCTGATCAACATTCCTGTAAAGTTTCATGACTGTAGGTCAAAAACTTTTTGAGTTACGTGCGACACAAAAGTGAATTAACGGACGGACGGAAGGACGGCGGGCGGACGGACAAGGGTAAATCTAAATGCCCGCCACTAACGTGGGGGCACAAAAACATAAACCTTGACTGTTAAATGTAAGTTCTTGCAATTTCATTCTCTAAATGCAACTTGAAGAGCTCTTCGAACCAGATCCACTTTAAGGTTGCAGGACGAATTACTTTTTTAATTTACATCAAAAGAAACTGTCACAGGATTTTGCCTTAAATCTAAGACTGTTTCAATCAAGATCACATTTTACTTATACTGACTGCTTCACTAAGTAATACATGCTTTGGTGAACACTTTTTTTTATATATTGGACCTTCACATAATGCATTTTTGTGCACATCTTAAAAATTTTAACCAATGGTACAGTCTCAGTTTATACCCACTTCATCCTTTATGACATTGGGACAATTTATGGCCCTCTTGTGTCTTTGCCAAAACAGGCACTAACTCATTCATAACCTGGAAGGCTTACTAATAGATATTTAGGGTGTGGCATTTCTGGTGTACTACCATCAAGTTAATCGTGTCCGTTGGGATGAAAAATCTCTCTGCCACAATTGTTTCTTGGGTTTATATAGACTTATAAATGCAAAAATCTTTAAAATATATTATCTCAAGGGTGTCAGAAATGTAAAAAGATTGATAATTGTGTTGCCATTTTGAGTAGACCTTTCCCAAGTTTTAACAAATCATAGCTTTGGATAAAAATGGACTCAGTTGAAGATTCACTTTGTTTTCTAAAAAATAAATTTCTTAGAACTTTTTTTCTATTGATATTTGACACATCAACTGACTGAACGCAATGTCATCTTGGATCAAATAAAATTGTTTTACGTTTCCACAAGTAATCTCTATGCATTAAATTACATTGAAGTTATTTAATTAGGAGTAAGCTTTAAGCATAGATATATGACACAGGCTTTAATGTCTGACTTATTGTCTCAATGTATAATAAGACTTCTCTACTTTTCTTTACAATGCATTCACTTGCTTCAGCACAAGATGGGGGAAGTTGAAATCTTTATTCAAATGAGCAAAATAATTGGCTATCAAAGTAAGCAGTTATGAAATTTGATAAATTTGTTCTAACAAAATTCTGATAAGTTAAATGTTTTTATATAGATGCTAACACTCATTTATACAGGAGTCATCATTTTTCACGTGGGTGTCCGGTATATTATCTACAACATGTATTTTATATTAAAGTGCTTTTATAATATGAATTGGTTATTCAAGATAAAATCGTGTTTGTTTCATACAAATGTGATGATTAGATTAAAATTTCTTAGTTGATAAGGTAATTAAAGAAAAACACAATTAAAATATAAAAGATCTGATGCTTTAGACCAGTGTTTGGTTGATATGGCAATTAAGAAATTAAACTTGCATTAAAGAAATTCATTCAACACTGGGCAAATTTTATTATTTTATAATGGTTGTGTATTGCCCAGAGAAGTTTAATGGTTACTTGCATGGTTAACTACATTTATAATATCCCACTTGCTTTAACAAAGGTATTATTGTTGATGTTTACAACTTGAATATGTTATGTGGCTACAACAGACATCAACTTTGTGTAAGGTGTTGCCTATGCCATGTTCTTTATTCTGTATTTGTCAGATTTCTAACAGTTGCCTTGTAGACAATCCTAATCAAGTATTCTGATTAAATGATTTATTTCTAATAATTTCTTAGCATTTAACATATCATTGAAATACTTTGTACTTTTTGTAATGAAATTATAAGCTGAAACTGCTATCTTTATAATTTCTCAAAAACTTTTTTATTTTTAGCTCACATGAACACAAAGTGCTCAGATATGAGCTTTTGAGATGGCAGTGTGTCCATAGTTCTTTGGATGTCACTAACCTCAATTTCTTTACATAACATCTCTACTTAAACTACATTATGTACCTGATGGATTTTGACCAAACCTTTGCCAGTGCCTTATAAAAGTTAAAAGGTGATTTATTACAAAATCTAAAAACGAAATCTTTAAAGTAGTTTCCTTAGGAATAACAATTCTCAGAGCTTAGATATTTGGCACCGAACAGCACTATGATATCACCTACAAAATTCTATAAATCAGGTCCCTTGCATCAAAAATGGACCTCGGGAGGGGAGGTGGTTGTCGGGTAATTTGCATTGAAGAACTGTGACCTTTTTTGCAATGTATCTCATGTGAGTGATAAACGGTGTGTTTGTTGGTGTTTTGTACAGATTCCGGAACACATACTCTCTCATAACATAGCTGAACCATCTTTTGCTTTTGGCCATTTGAAAAACAAAAAATATGTACCACTATACCACATTACATTTGTCAACTTCTGTGATAAATTATTTTTTTCATTAAACACTGCTTTAGCACCTTCATCATTAAATCACAGAATTGTTTTCTCTTCTGGCTAAAGCGTGATTCATAGATGGGCTTAACGAGCCACATGTTCAATTTACATAAAAGGCTCTTTCGTTTTTAAGAGTGACTGCCCCGACATTATCATCTTAAATGTAGTATTGTATAATATTTCTATTTATTCAAATTATCTGCTTGAATATCGAGGAGGAAATGGTGAAAGAAATTTGGATTAATGAAATAATCAGTCTTTCTTTTCTGAAGTCTCAAAACTGACTTGAACTTGGTACTTAAGATATAATATAAGTGGATTAATTATGGTCTGTATAGAACTATAACAGCTTAGATAGTGTCCCTTAATGACTTACAAACACTCGATCAGGTGTAATTATCTAGGTACTGGTTAATCTTGTGACATCTGAATTAATTATGCAAGTCGACCATTTTCTAAGTGTTTGAAATGGTGCTTGGATTATTACTGCATAAAAATATTGGTTGTGAGGTTTCTAGTGAATTTCATAGAAGTTAATTTATATATAATCATCGCACATACATTTTAATATATTTTTATTTGTTGCATATATACAATGTATGATATAAATATTCATGAAAACTTTACAATAAATTACAATATATACTATACAACATTACTTATTGTTTCAATAGTAGCAATGATAATAAAAATTAATACAGTTTCCATATACGCCCGACCTTATGGGAAATACAGTAGATTCAATATTTACCAAGCTTTAAAGTGTAAGTACATATTGACTATAACGTAAACATGTCTAGAGGATTATTTTACTCGAACAGTAAAAGTTCAGTCACACGTATTTTGAAGAAGCTCCTTGTTGCCGCCACTTCTTGAGGGAAAAAGTATGTTTATACTTTATAGGCATCAAATAGCCACTTTAAAGATTTAATTACACGGTCGGTGTTCATATATGGACATGGGAGAAACGAATCCAAACAGAAACTTGATAAATCCGCTTTAAAACTGGCTTAACTGGAGTTTAACCCCATGTTTTATTTATTTAATCTTTAGATAATTTCAATTTGAAAACCGTTCAAGAAAAAGATTAATTTTTGATCGTTAAATGTGGTAGCTGTCGTTCTTATTGAGAAAATAAAGTAGACTTACGATAAAAATGATTGAATTGTTAATAATAAATTATAAGGACTTTCGTATAAAATACCTTGTGCATATATTTAAGACAAGTCGTTGACGTCTTTATATGTCTAAATATTCATAACTTCACGTCCTTAAAACGTACTATATCGATCTTTTGTAGTGTTTCTCTATATATGACTTAATTAATCTCCCTCTTCCCAATTGTCAAGAGTATGGTATTTGTCATAATTTATATGAATCAATTTATTTATAGATTCTTATTTAGCTTTCCCATGTCTTTTATCTTTCCCTCCGCTGCCTGGGCCATGCTTATCTTTTTTCCCTGAACATTTTGGAGATTTTCTGCCTCGTTTATTTTTACCAAAGAGAATAGCAAGTGTACTTCGTTTCGGGCCCGTAGTGGACTCTTCTCGGTTTATTTTCATGGGTGGTACTGAACGTCGGAATGATCTCGATTGCTGCATTGACAAATAGTCCATCATAGTGGTTAAATCACCCAATATATGTTTGTATTCATTCGCTTTGTTTGTATCTACCTGAGATGAATGAAACTGTTTTGGCGCCATACCTTTTCTTGGTTCTCGCATTTGTATAAGAGACATTGTATCCAACCTTGGTGAACCATCTGGACTGTCCATGTACATTCTGCTTTGCATTCTCGGGGATTTATCGTGTTTGCCAACAGGTGTATATACTTGAGATTTTGGTGACATTATTCTTACAGCTTTTGATGATTCGGTATCGATTGTTTCAAAGTCACCTGTTGACTTTGACCTTTGACTTGGTCTTTTCCGAACTTTAGGTGTAGGCATTGTGATTATTTCATAGCCAGGTCCCTCAAATTCCATTAACATTCGGGCACTGCCAGCAATGGCAGCATGCTCGTACAGCGTGTTTCGACGCATGCGTACTTCCTCATTCCTTTCCTTTATTCCAATTTTTCTCCACTCGTCAGCTTTCTTAAAGGAGTATATATCCCCCTGACCTTCGCATGCACCTCCTTCAACTTTAAGGATATCCGCAATGAGGCCAAACCCTAGCCTCTTAGCGTGTAAATATGGTGTTAAGCCAATATTATCAGGGACATCAACGGATGTCCCGTACTTTGTCATTTCTCTAACTAAAGTCTTCACTATTTCTGTACGTCCGGCTTGTGTGGCAAGATGAAGGGCTGTCATTCCCTCTCTGTCTTTTTCATGAAAGTCGAATTCTCCCATAAAATTATCTAAAAGGATATTTGCCTGTTCGTCTCTACCTAATACACACGCCCATGCTAATGCATTTCTTTTGTGCTTCGGGTCCTTTTGCAATGGATCAGCTTCATTTTCTAACAAAAACTGAAACATTCTACTGCGTTTTGCTACATTTTCTATGTGCAAGGCAGCAATAAGTACACTAAATCCGTAGTCATTCTTGGCGTTTATATTCAAACCATTGTCTAACAGGAATTTCACTTTCCGCATTCTTCCTTTATATACATTATGAAACAGTCCACTTGCCAGACAAGACTTGGTTTGTCGAGAAACTTTAACGGGTGGTTGAGTTGGGATATCCTGAACAGAGTGAGCAGCGTCCCGAAATATTTCAGATTCAAGAACCTCCGAGTGGCGCCGTGGTTCATTTTCAAGTTTGTCCACAAATGAACGCACCTGTACCATTGTTTCTTCGCGAAAAACCATCTTGCAGCTAAAGATAGAAAAACATGTTTTATCAGTCAAGTTTCTAAATGCCTTATTGTTTACTGTGTTTTATAAGATTTTTATTACAATTAAGGTAACAAAATAATCTGAAAAAAAAGAACGTATATAATACATTGTAACAAATTACATTGCCAATCCTATCATCGCCCAGGGCATTATACCTGGCAGTATATGATATATAGTTCTTTATTCTTTTATGTATATAACAAAGCTGGCAAAATGACATATTCCCAATCATTTTCCATACTATTAGTTTTCGGAACAGTATCGTGAATCAGTGTCGCCTTGGAACATGTTTTAATTTCACCCAGACTTACGTTTCATATTCTATCCTAACAAAAAATTTACATTTCAAGTAGCTATGTTACAACTATTAGTTATTTATGAATAACACATTAACTGCTCAACCTTAATTAATAACAGAAATATTGCCGAAGAAAATCCCCACGGTATACTAAAATCTTTGAATACTTCGATTTATACTTGACTTCCATCTAACATTCATTTTATATCAAATAATTTGTATCGTTGCAAGTTGAATGGTTATACTCGAGTTTTCCATTAAACTTTTGCTATGCTAGACTACGTTTGTACGACCGTCTTACATGTCTTTTTCCTATAGTTCTGAAGGGCAATTAGTCGAGGATAATACAGTATAGAAAGTAAAAACGCATTGATAAATATACCTAGGTGTAGTTATGTTAAAGCAAAAAAAAAAGTTAGCTATTGTCAACATTGATCATTTAAGTACTTATAATCTCCTTAAATAATTCAATTGAATTTCCAAAATAAACTTGGAGCTTTTATTTAGATCTAAACTGGTATTTTATAATTACTATATTTTAGTTCTAACTACAACTTCTTCATCACGTAGAAATATGGTTCATAAAACTGAAAATGAACTATATTTTTTTAAAGATATGAAGTTATACTTACAATAAATATGAGACGATCCTTTCTTATACTGTACACCAAATGAATCTAATTATTTTACAATGTTTAAAATTCACGAAAATATCATGTTTAGCCAGAAGAATTGTGTCCAACCAAATCTTGCGAAAGTCAATGAAGAAAGTAATCTGCTAAATAAACATTACTCATTATTAATTTATTTATCAACACTGACGTCTAGAGTGAAAATAAAAAGAGACAATCCTTTATAAATCCTCAAAGAAGACTTCTAACGGTGTCGCACGTATCCATTAAATTATAGCCAGAGCACATTAATTAAATTTAGAAATGAAAACTTTCGGAATACACTAATTTCTTCAGGTCGATAAGAAATGTAAATCGGAAACAAATTAATAAATGTACACCCTGAAATCCGAGGTATCTAACATTGTGAAATTGAGATACGTCTCGCGATTTCAAATTATGACACGGTTTTATTATCGATACGGGCGGAGATAACAACTTAATTCAATTCTACCGTACATTAAACTGATCAAGAATTCGGTATTGATTCCAATGTTAAGCAAAAGTGATTAGGTTAATACCATTAACTATTTCTATTTGCTGAAGGGATAATTTACCCTCATTTTTTAGGCCAGTCTAGTTTAGTGTTTGGCAAATATTATTACATTAAGAAGATTAATGCTCAAATTAACACTGGTTTCTTGACCACTCCAGACTAAAAAGAACCAAGAGCTAAAAGTGCAAATATGTATACTGCAAACGAAATAATCAGACTTTTGTTAAAAGGTTAAAGTTTAAACAAATAGAACAATGTTTTCTTTCACAAATGCGAAACAGGCTATAAGTACGTTCGACTTTGGTTTCATCTGGAATTTTTCAGTTTACCTTATGTTTGTCAAATACATTGAACACTTTCCGATCTAAGTTGTCACCGAGTGTGTTCATCTTTTAGGTCTGTGGTTCTTTAATTAGTACTTTGTTTCCTCTCAAATGAGTTTAAATAAGATAATTTTCTTTACTATTTTCGCACTAAATAACAAAATTTCATTTACATTTACATTTAAGATATATTTAATCAGTCGAAAGCTTATTCCAAAATATATGTTCACAATGTAGAAAAAAAGAAAAGAAATTAAACTGAAATGTTAAGAGTTACAAAAAAACAAACAAAAAAACTCCAAACCTAACTCCTGGGCAAGAAATCGCGATTTAAATATATAATATTCGAGACCCTAAAATTATTTATTATATACTTATAAATGAAATATTGAGAAATATTAATTAAATAAAATGCGTATTTTCATTTTCCGTATTTTCACTGTAATTTTTTTTTTCACTGCAGTGAAACATATTTTCCGTATTTTCACTGGTATCTAGCCGGACTACTTTCTATTAAATTCTGCCATTACGCAAACTTTAAGGGAAATTTTTTCCAATTTTAACGTCATAAAGAGCAATGTATATAATAAACAGAAAATTCAAGTTTTATCTATAAATACATGATTTATTTTCATCTTGTGGCATGAAAATTATCATATTTTACTCGTGGCTACCGCCACTCATGAAATATTTATTTTCATACCACTCGATGAAAATAAATCATGTATTTATAGGAAAAACTTGAATATCCTCTATGTATTAATTAAAAGGGCGTGAAATATAATATGCATGTATAAGTTTTGTAAAGACCAACAAGAACAAGCTCTATGTCAAGGGCCTGGTTTAGGATTATAGTCCGAAGGTAAAAATAATGTGTTTAGTAATTAACGTTTTAACAGTGGATTAAGTTCATGTTAAAAGTTTAAAAACTAAACACAATTGCGCCGAAGTGGTAAAGGTAACAAAAATGTAAACAAGGAAGTATTTTGACTTTCATACAAAATACTATATATATAGTTCACTATAATTTACAAGTAACAAGATTTCAAAAATACTAAGTTTTTGGGAAATAAAATTGATTTCTGAGGCACAATGGGCTTTCAACATTAATTTGCTTTGCAAAAATATTTTTAGTATGACCGTAGTGCGTCGCCATTTACACCTGTCTAAATTTAAATTAACAAAGCAACATGCCATTGTTTCGGAGCAATACAGAAACTCCAATCGATCACAAAACATAAAGCAAATGTTGTCAATCATTAAAATAAAGTTTTAAACCATTAAAACACCTGCCATAAGCAGACTACATATGCTACTCACAAAAGAGAACTTCATTAAAACTGTGTTATCAAACTTGTACTAAGACGGTGGTACGGTACTATAGGTAGGTTAACAATTGAAATGATAAAACATCGACGTATTTCAATAAGTTTAACTGATAAGTCATTAACCTGATTATAGCTCTGGTTACTGTCAGTACTGAACATTAATTGAAAACATGAATATATATTTAACTGATAAGGTTTCTGCAAGTTTGTTTAGTGCGAATGAAATTTCAATTAAAACGTTATCTGAACAAATAAAGCTTTAAATGTAAACATTCAGGGATTATTACATTGGTTGCATTTAAGTTGGCATTCACGCACTTATGAATTAATCAGATAAGGCTACAATTGATCCTGCCGTACGTCAATAAAATAAAGATAAAGAACGCCCAAAACGGCAATATTGAAAATGTTGCAGGCTCCGTTTGATCGAGTCTGTGGTTTTTGAAGCTACCTCTTTCTTGCGCTACCTTAGGTATGATGTCTTTGATGTTGGTTCATTTCTTATCGATGCTATACTGTTTTATCATGTATTGGATATGTTACAGTGTTATTACATAGTACTGAAATAAATATATCTATCCTAATGATGACTAGAGGATTATCTTTGATTAAAATGTACGTGGCAACTTTTTACGGCCTCCGCACAGCACAAATAACACTGATATGACAATAAAATAGAATTAAGCCTCATACCTGTACATACTGTAAAGACATCATGACAAAATTTTGTGTTTTGATGATTGTCTTATTCATTGAAAATGCATTTTGTCCTTTAATGATGCGTACAGTAACAAGTTCACTTCGACATTTTTTAATCTACAGGCATTTCAGGTAAGAGTGGGGTATTCGGGTAGAATCTGATAATTCCATCTGATCAAATAATAGAGCGAGTTGTAGGAGGCTATCTTAACTCACAAGGGAGAGAAATGTACAATCATATTTCATGGAACATATCCAAATTTGTGGCCCGTGAGTATGCATTAGAAGAATGTGTTTAATGCTTTTTTGGCATACTGGACAAACTTGCTTACTCTTTTATAGTTTTTCTGACTATTTCCTTCCTCTAGATTATGTTTTTCGCTTATATGCTCTTTTATTTCCATATACATGTAGTCAACAAAAGTTCTCAGTTGTGGTGCAATAATCATTATTATATGGTGGATTATTTCGTTATCAATGTGCATTTATTAAGAATGTATGTTTAATGATTTAACTGTGTTATATGTCGGCTTTGAAAAACATTTATGTGAGTTTCGTGCCAATTATTCAAAATCTCTCAATGCATGTAGTTTCGCTGCCTTTGACCTCAGTGTGAGCATGACCTTGTTCGTTCGTTTTACAGTGAACAGTTGACATGTGTCAAGTCATAATCCTTATACATGTTGAAGAATTGTCTCGCATAAAGCTGGAAGCTGTCATGACCAATCTTATAACTAATCCATTTTCTTAAACAAGCATATCCGAAGAAGGATTTAAGTTAATATGTACCTGAGAGCATAAAACATTATAGTACAAAACCCACAAATATGAGCAGTGTAACGCTTAAATGACATCAAGGTTTTCCAATTGGAACATCTCCGCTATTTTCCTCAACCTAACGTCACTTCAGATCACCCTCGTGCAATAACATTGGTTTCCAAAACTTTAAAAGTCGCTATTTAACATTTTTGTTTTTCATCTGTTCACGTCACGTCATAGTATATAAGCGGGTACGCTGAAGACCTTACGCTAAACGAAGGAGTGCTGCAACCGGTTGAAACCTTCCCCGACGGACAATCAATTATCCTTCATGGTGTTGTAACCCTTTTTTATGCCACCGCAGCATCTGCAATGCGGATGGCATATAGCGATTCACCTGTGTGTTTGTATGTGTTTTGCCATGGCAACCAAAAGGAATTATAAGAATAAATTTAAAAAATCTTCTTGTAAAGACCCAATAGGCCAAGAACTTAGATATTTTGCATAAGGCATTGTCTGGTAGACCTCTACCAAGATTATTCAAATTATAGTCCTGGGGTCAAAATTGGCCCCGCCACGGGGTAATTGATTTTCTATATGTACTATATGTACGTATAGTCAAAAATTATACCTTCTTGTCTGGAGGTACAATGCTTAGAGGTTTGATATCAGCCATAGGTACTCTACCAAAATTGTTCAAATTTTGCCTCTAGTGTCAAAATTAGCCCCGCCCTGGGGGTCATAAGTTTTCCTTTTATGTATATAGTAAAAACCGAAAAAACCTTCTCGTCTTCTCTAAATTGACAAAGGCTGGAGGTTAGATGTTTTGCATGAAACATTGTGTAATGAACCTCTAGCAAGATTGTACAAATTATAGCCCTGGGGTCAAAATTAGCCACACCCCGGAGGTCATTGATTTTCACTATGTAATTAAAAAATCTTGTCTGAAGGTACAAGGCTTAGAGCTTTGATATAAAATATCATCTATGGGTCCTCTACCAAGTTGTTTAAATTATACCCCTTTGCCCTGTCCCAGAGGCGATAGTTTTTAAGTAAAAACTTGAAAAATCTTCTACTCCGAATTGACATTTAGGCTAGAGGTTAAATATTTGGCACGAGACTTTGCGTAGTGAACCTCTACCAAGATTTTCTAATTATAGCCCTGGTGTACATAATTTTATAGTAAACAAGAGCGATCAGTAATCACATGTGTCGCCTCATGATGGCCAATTTCATGTTGGGACAAATTTTGTGACAGACGGACAGTGCACAACTAGACTTGGTACTGATCATTCCTGTAAAGTTTGGATAAAATTGCACCAGTAGTTTATGAGGAGTAGTCCGGACAAGCTTTTGCGTATCTGGCAACACACAGAAAAAAAACACCTTTTTATCAAAGGGCCATTACTCGGCCAAAAATCATTCAACCAGAAAACCCGTGCAATATGCGCAAGGACTTGAGCTACAGATCAATCCTTTTAAGTTTCATTGAAATTACATAAGTGGTATAAGAGAAGTAGTCCGGACAAACTTTAAAAATAAAAATTATTAAAGGGCCATAACTCTGACAAAAATCCTTGAACGGGAAAATGCTGATAATATGCACAACTAGACTTGGTACTGATCATTCCTGTAAAGGTTGGATGAAATTGCACCAGTAGTTTATGAGGAGTAGTCCGGACAAGCTTTTGTGTATCTGGCAACACACAGAAAAAAACACCTTTTTATCAAAGGGCCATAACTCGACCAAAAATCATTCAACCGGAAAACCCGTGCAATATGCGCAATGACTTGAGCTACAAATCAATCCTGTAAAGTTTCATTGAAATTGCATGTAAAGTTTCATTGAAATTGCATTAGTGTTATAAGAGAAGTAGTCCGGACAAACTTTAAAAATAAAAATTATTAAAGGGCAATAACTCTGACAAAAATCATTGAACCAGAAAATGCTGACAATCTTCACAACTAGACTTGGTACTGATCATTCCTGTAAAGTTTGGATGAAATTGCACCAGTAGTTAATGAGTTGTCCGGACAAGCTTTTGTGTATCTGGCAACACAGAAAAAACCCACCTTTTTATCTAAGGGCCATAACTCGGCCAAAAATCATTCAACTGAAAAACCCGTGCAATATGCGCAAGGACTTGATCTACAGATCAATCCTGTAAAGTTTCATTGAAATTGCATTAGTGGTATAAGAGAAGTAGTCCGGACAAACTTTAAAATTAAAAATTATTAAAGGCCCATAACTCTGACAAAAATCATTGATCCGGAAAATGCTGACAATATGCACAACTAGACTTGGTACCGATCATTCTTGCATATCAGACTGGCGTTTCCGTTAGTTTTACCCATGCCGGAAATTTCATCTGGCATGGGGGGTTCCAGATGAGTCGCGTGCTGTACAATGGCACGATAAAGATGACGTCATTTTACCGTTATAAATGATTTTGTAATTCATACGCTGTTGTAAGAAAATAGTTACGGTTGTAATGATATAAATTTTCATTGAAAATAAAGAAAAAGAATTTAAAATATATTGGCATATAGTAGAATATGCAAGAAAAAATATCTGACATATGTTTGCGGTTCGGATCGGAATATCCGTCCCTCGGTCACCCGCCCATGGGCGGTAACTCGGCAAGCCTCGTTACCGCCCAATGGGCGGGTCACCTCGGGACGGATATTCCGATCCGAACTGCAAAATATGACAGATATTATTATTCCTGTAAAGTTTGGATGAAATTGCACCTGTAGTTTATAAGGAGTAGTCCGGACAAGTTTTGTGATGGACGGACAGACAGACGACGGCGAAGTGATCCCTATATGTCGCCTTTAGAGCTTTGATGTTTAGGTCCTCTACCAAAGTTTTTCAAATTTTTCCCCTCCCGTGTCAAAATTGGCCCTGTCCGGGGGTGGGGCATTGATTTTCATTATGTACATAGTAAAAATAGAAACTGAAACAAATGCTTTCTGAATTGGATAAAGCTACAGCTAAGATATTTGACATGAAACGTTGTTTGGTGGACTTTTATCAAGATTGTTTTGAATTAAAACCTTTGATCAAAATTTAGTCTTGCCCAAGGGGACAGTGACCTACTTTCTTGTCCTTTGATGTACAGCAATGAAATTTTGACCATGTGCACAGTTTCAGTTGTAAAATTGAACTTTGATATCAGGTGGCCTAGATTTTGTGACCCATTTTCTTTTAGCAGATATGAAATCTTTTATCTTAAACTGAGATCACAAAGTTCATATTTGTATCTGAAATAGTGCAAATGTAAATATATAACTGGTTGTTATTGCCAAGAGAAAACAATTACAAAAGTCACTGGTTGCCATACAAAACAAGCAATTATCATAGTATTGCAAGCAATCCATAAGTCCCCTACCGGTAAGAACCCCATCAACATTCTGAAGGGCCATTGGCCATTCACTTATGTTTCAATTTTTCTCTATTTTAAGTAAACTTGTTGGAAAAGTTCTTTAAAAGTGATCACAGGAAACAGTTTTTATGAACAGACAGACAGACGGACTGAAGGACACTCTAAAGTTAATATTTGAAACATCCCTGTTACCAAAATATAACATTTTAAAAGCAGAATTCTTAAAGAGGAGATAACTCTTGAATTAAAGATGCAATTTCATAAAAATTTTCAGCTCTTTTTGACTAATCACAAATATTGTTATATTTGCCATGTTTAAAGCCTATTTGTTGCCAAGGCAACTGATATTTTTTCAAAATAGGAAGAACAGATAAGACATGCATAATCTCAACACTGCTATCTTCCCATATGTCAAGTTTCATAAAAATATTTCCAGTACTTTTTGAGTTATCACTGGATTCAGTTTATGTGTAAAATTTGCCATATTTTCAGTCTATGTGTTGCCATAGCAACCAGAATTTTCAACATAGGAAGAAAAGAAAAAGACGTGCATAATCTCAAGACTGCCATCTACCCATATGTCAAGTTTCATAAAAATATTTCCAGTACTTTTTGCTTTATCACTGGATCCAGTTTGTGTAAAATTTGCCATATTTTCAGCCTATTTGTTGTCATAGCAACCAGAATTTTCAACATAGGAAGAAAAGAAAAAGACGTGCATAATTCCAAGACTGCCATCTTTCCATATGTCAAGTTTCATAAAAATATTTCCAGTACTTTTTGCTTTATCACTGGATCCAGTTTATGTGTAAAATTTGCCATATTTTCAGCCTATTTGTTGCCATAGCAACCAGAATTTTTCAACATAGGAAGAAAAAGAAAAAGACGTGCATAATTCCAAGACTGCCATCTACCCATATGTCAAGTTTTATAAAAATATTTCCAGTACTTTTTGCGTTATCACTGGATCCAGTTTATGTGTAAAATTTGCCATATTTTTAGCCTATTTGTTGCCATAGCAACCAGAATTTTCAACATAGGAAGAAAAGAAAAAGACGTGCATAATCTCAAGACTGCCATCTACCCATATGTCAAGTTTCATAAAAATATTTCCAGTACTTTTTGCTTTATCACTGGATCCAGTTTGTGTAAAATTTGCCATATTTTCAGCCTATTTGTTGTCATAGCAACCAGAATTTTCAACATAGGAAGAAAAGAAAAAGACGTGCATAATTCCAAGACTGCCATCTTCCCATATGTCAAGTTTCATAAAAATATTTCCAGTACTTTTTGCTTTATCACTGGATCCAGTTTATGTGTAAAATTTGCCATATTTTTAGCCTATTTGTTGCCATAGCAACCAGAATTTTCAACATAGGAAGAAAAGAAAAAGACGTGCATAATTCCAAGACTGCCATCTACCCATATGTCAAGTTTTATAAAAATATTTCCAGTACTTTTTGCGTTATCACTGGATCCAGTTTATGTGTAAAATTTGCCATATTTTTAGCCTATTTGTTGCCATAGCAACCAGAATTTTCAACATAGGAAGAAAAGAAAAAGACGTGCATAATCTCCATACTGCCATCTATCCATATACCAAGTTTCATAAAAATATTTTCAGTACTTTTCAAGTTATCGCGGGATCCAGTTTTGTGGACGGACGGACGGAGGGTAAACCTAAAGTCCCCTCCGGTAAACCGGTAGGGGACTAATAAATAGTTTCAATAAGTCAGTGCCTGCTATGAAATCCAATGGAAGATTTGTTGCTATGGGGGATAGTGTTTGCTATGGTAGTCACTAGTTTGTTCGATTGGGTTTTACGTCACACAGACATATAGGTCATATGGCGACGTTCCAGCTTTAATGGTAGAGGAAGACCCAAGGTTCCCTTCCATGCATTATTTCAGGCACGAACGGGCACCAGAGTAGAACCACCGACATTCCGTAAGCTAGCTGGATAGCTTCCTCACATGAAAGAAGCCAAAGTCCCTGTCGGGATTCAAACCCACAGCGGTGAGGGGCAAATGGTTTGAAGTCAACGACCTTAACCATTCGGCCATGTACGCGTCTCTAGTTACAATGAAAATTTAATCAGTTAAGTCAATGGCTGCTATGAAAACTAAGCTTTAGCTCTCTAGTACACTGAAATTTTGAGGTCTACTATATACATAAAAGGAAAAATAACTTGAAGTGATCCCTTCAAGCTCCTTACAAGGAAAATCAATCCCCTGGGGCGAGCCAATTTTGATCCCAGGGATTATCTAATGACCAAACTAGTCAACCACTAGAAGATATTTCATGCTAAAAATCTAAGCGAAGTTTTTATTTTACTATAGACATGAAAGGAAAATCAATGACCCCCTCGGCTGGTGCCAATTTGACCCTTTTGAACAGATTTTTTAAATATCTTGTGCTAAATATCTAAGCTCTAGCTCTTCAATAGATTTTTTAAGTTTTCTTTTGGTTGCCTAGCAACCAGAATTTAGCATGGAACCTCACCCTTGAGCACCGAGTGCTCAGACACGCTGAAGTCCGACTTCTGAATGACCATAAATTTGTACTATCAGTGAGCAAATACAGTAATGTGTAAAGTCTTAAAAGACTTAAGTGCGTATCTGTGTATTAATTCTGGCACCAGAGTAAAACCACCCATGTTTTAGCTTCTTCCCTTGAAAGAATTGGAAGTCCTAGGCAGGATTCAAAACCACAGCAATGAGGGGCAAGTGGTTTTAAGTCGACAACCTTGTCCAGTCAGCAAAGGAAACCAAAAACACATGTGCACATGTACTACTACAAGCATTGAAATTTTTGGGTTAAGAAAAAACAAATAAAGTGGAATTTTTTTTCTTCATTTTTTTTCCCCGGGTTTCATCAAAAATTCAAAGTTTTCAAGACACATTAGGTTACCCCGGTCTTTACAGCCCTTCTTTAATGGGCCCCGTATAAAATTTTAAAATGCATATTTTTAACACTGTTTTAAAATTTCACACTGATTTCAGATTACATCAAACTGCATATCAACTTTAAACAAAATTCATGCATCATAAATATAGCAAGAGATTATCAGAAGGAAGGCAGCATGGGTGTTTCATCAACCATGTTGTCAGGCATCCCCTGGCAGGGGGATGTACCATGTGTTTCATCACAATTTCTTCAACTCTAATTCAGTTATTAAAGGGATACTCGGGCAAATTAATGACAAAACTATCAAATTCACGCTAAAATGACTTTTAAAAGTCCCAGCATGAATTTCTGTAAAAATGCTATATATTTTGGGTTTGAAGCGTGATATATGTTGAACAAAATTAAGACCCCAACAGAATAGATTTAAAACAAGTCATGTGATTTGAACAAACCCTGGAATTAATATTGTGGATATTGCATGATTGAAACCAGTCTAAGCCATTCATTTGACATGTTCTTAAACTATTCTAAAGTTCACTGTGACAACTACTGTTAAATCTTAACGTTCTAACCTGACCAACGCAAGTCATGTTAGGAAACCACCATTTTATTCTTTCTCAGGACATTTACAGAATGATGAATGCAAAATTCAAAAAGAAAATTTTTGCCTGTGTCTCCCTTTAATGCCATTATTCACTGTTAATTTATCATTTATGTAACAAGTAAGTTAACTTTAATGTATAAAAAACCTAACCAAAACTTAAAAGATTGTATTTATGATAATAAAATGTTGCTAGAAATAAATTGCAGCAAATTTGGTTGATCAAGCTTACCATGAAGGTTCTCTTCTCCTCGATTGTCTGGAAACGTCCATGACCAAACTTGCTGGAAGTATCGATGAACTTCAGAGTAATCTTCTCCATCTGTCTTCTCCTGTGTGACTTCAGCAACGACTAAAAAAAAATCAAAAAAAAAATTAATTTATTATGCATCTTTTTGTATGTGATAATACATTTAAACTGAAGAAAAAAACCCATCACAAGGAAAGCATCAAAGGTAAATCAACCAGATTAAATTTTCTTTTTTCAAACTAAAAACAAAATTCTAGAATTCAGAGATCGGGAAAGTGTCATAACTTGGGCATTGTTTTAAGTTCCACAGATAGCCCTTCAATACCACATCAGGTTGCTTGATTTATCAAAGAGACCATACATCCATAAAAGGCTACCATTACTGGCAGTGTGATTTTATACATGGCAGCAATCGGAAAACAATGTTGATAATTTGTATTGGATGTTTTAACAATGGATTTTTTAGGTCGCACTCTTGTAAAAAGATTCAACTAGGATTTTTATTTATATCTTATTGCTGCTGTTTGAATAGATTTAAGTTTTGAATTATTTTTGCAGACAGTAAATTTACAGTTATTTACCATCAAATCTTAATGCCTATTATGTAAATAGGTGTATTTGAAACATTGTTACAGGTGGCATCATAGTCTAATTTGCAAAAATTCTTTCCCGATCTCTTGAATATGTTTACATGTACCACAATTTAAATAAATGTCCATTAATCATTTTCAAAGAGTGAAAAACTGAATTAGTAACAACCATCAGAAGGAAGGCAGCATGGGGTTTTAATCAACCATGTTGTCATGCATCCCCTGGCAGGGGGATGTACCATGTGCTTCATCATATAGTATGTGGCATTTGTAAATAACAAACACTTTATCGTGTAGATAAAATTGTTTTCATATTACAAACAAAATTACAGAATGTGGCAAAGTTCTTAAAGTCAATGCTTATGTAAATATAAACAAATGTACACAAATCAGCTAAAAACTGAATTAGTAACAACCATCAGAAGGAAGGCAGCATGGGGTTATAATCAACCATGTTGTCATGCATCCCCTGGCAGGGGGATGTACCATGTGCTTCATCATATAGTATGCTACATTTGTAAATCAGGGTGTTTTTCTACTGCTGTAGAAGTGGCCGTATGCTGCTTCCCCACAAGAAATTTTTTTGCACCTTTCTCCTATCTTTCAATTAAGATTCTTCTACCCTTTTAGGCAAAAATAAAAAAATTTCCCAAAATTTAAGGTAAAGCATGTGAAAAAAGCCTCGTTATAAAAAATATTTAAATCATGTTAATGGTTACCTTTCTTAGAGTAAGAACCCGTTTCTTAGGCCCAACACAGCATCCCTTGATCATGAGGAAGTCATTGTTGACCTCACCATAATGAGGGAAGCCACCAAGGGGTGTGATTGTTTTGTCTGTAGGGTCATACTCGGTGGCAGCATTGTTCTTCACAACTTTGCCATCCTTGGTGTGGATTCCATCTCCAATGCGGTAAATCTTCTTGTTGATTTCAGTACGATGATGGTAACCCTTCTGACCAGCACGAGCTACAGTGAACTGTACACGGCTAGGATGCCATGCTCCAATACAAGCAACCTTTCTAAGACCCTTGTGTGTCTTCCTTGGTAGTTTCTTGCAGTGCCATCTTGAAGTTACACCTAATGATATCAAATATAAAAATTTCCTTTACTCAAGAACAGTTTAACTGAAAGCTAACTTAACATTTTACATTGAAATTTATAAGAACAATTTAACCAACTGTTCAGAAAATGAACTCTGGTTACTGAAATAATAATGCTGCTACAATTAAGATGATCTGCAAAGTGCAAATTAAATATTTTACTCAGCAATACAATTCATTTGACCTACCCTTCACTCCCTTTCCTTTGGTGACACCAATGATATCAATGTTCTCATCCTGGGAAAACACACTCTTGACTTGTACACTTTTCTCCATGTGTTCACGCACCCAGTCTACCTTTTCACTAATAGTTCCACCATTAACTTGGATCTCCATAATGTGGGCTTTCTTCTGACGTTTCTTCAACAACTTGGTCTGTAAAATACATTGAAAGACACTTACTACTTGTTCATATATATGCAAATCAGTGTTAATAATTCTGGTTTGTCTAAAATATTTGTACAACAAATTACAAAGGTATTGATATTCTTATAAAGTTCCAATGTTCTAATTTATATCCAGGAATAATTCTGGCCAAGATTTTCTCTCATTTGGCCAATTTCAATGTCGGACAGAATTTAGATAGCAGTAATTTATACTAGAGTAAGAGATTTGACTTGCAAAAGCTAAACTGACTATAATTAGCTTCATGAATTTAATAGAATACTACTATCACCTTTCTAATTTCCACATACAAGTGAACATTTCACCAATAGGCATGTAATTCAATTTCAATGACATTAGTTTTCATGTGTTTGAATCTCACTTTAAATCAGATAGAATATGCTAACAAAATATTGTGCTTACCTGAGTGTGACAGATAGCCCTGATGGTAGTACAATATTTCTTCATCTTGTTGAAGTCTCTCTCAATCTCCTTCTTGCCAGCATCATCATTCCATTTCTGGGAAGCCTTGGTAAATGCCTTCTTCTTGGAGCGGTACCTTTACGAGGGGGGAAATTTATGCCCAAATCTCATCATGATAAATCAAGAGAGGAGAATATGGACACAAGGTTCATCAATTAAGCCGACAAATATCAGCCGAGAGGAACCATTTCAAACACTCAACAGTCTAAAATGACTGGAGGAGCAAACAATAGAATAAAACCTCACTGACAAAACTGTCAGTAGGAGGCTGACGGTCCTGAAGCTTGTTAAATAAAATATAACTAGACATGAAAAATACAAATTGTAAAATTGACTAATAGATTTTACAAGTACTTAAGAATAAAATAAAACATCACAGTGCTTTAGATAATTTTTTTATAAATGGTCCATGGCATTGGATTACCTGCACTAGAGTAATCAGTATTCAGGATTTTGTTGAACAACATTACTAGTAGTAGCAGTTACTATATGATAGATACAACAATGCATCAGCTTGCTAGCCACTCGTCAGTTTTATGCAAATGTTTCTAAATTGGGATGAAATGCCCAATTATTTACATCACCACACGATATTTCATTGGGCATGCCTTTATTATTGCTGCATAATCAATACTCTTCTTTTTCTTTATTGATAGAAAAAATGATGGCAATCCGATCACAATTCATTTTTTGTACTTCAGCCATTATTTAATTCTACATACATAACAGAATGATCTTAAGGTACAAAATATATATATATACCAGTTCTTGTAAAATCTTCTTCTACATTCTTCACTCAAATGCTCAGCCCAGATGGTCTTGAAAGATCTAAGGCCACTTGGAGTCTCAATATAACCAGTGCAGCCAACTACCATCATAGGTGGTGCTTCAACGATCGTGACAGCCTCAACAACTTCTTTCTTATTTGACTCTATAAAAAAAGTGTTATTGGTAACTCAATTTCTCATAAACTGTATGGTTAATCACTAAATAAATTTTATGATTTGAAATAATTTTGTATTTTTAAGGTACAACAGCATTGTCAGCTATGTTTTCACTAAGTGGGTCAAAAGTGAAAGTAAGCATAAATTCATATAACAACAAAGCTCACAATGTAAAATTCCTAATTGTAATGGAAGTAACAGGTGCAGCAGAGTGCTCTCCCCTTTATTTTTGTACGGAGAATTTTCATTAATCTGAAGTTTTCACATGACCAATGAAAATACTCCATATGATAATAAAGCAGAGCAATCAGTTACTTTCATTTTTGGATAGAGAATTCATGGAAATAAATCTCACAAAAGTGACAGTAACCAAATATTTTCTTTCCGATTATGATATATATACATTGACCTTTTCGAAAACCTAGCTAAACACCGTTTTTCCGGTACATTACGGATTAAGCTCTGGGGAATTACACCAAATGAAGTACATTACACAGTTACATGATATTTCCATTTTTCTATCATTATTTTACCGTTTAAGGTGAAAAAAATTGATGTTTTTTGAAAATTATCAATATTCCTTTAAAATCTATTGCAAATTTTTCAAAAAATAAATTGTTTATAATAAAAATCAATAAAATTAAAACAGACGTAGTGGAATCTTCCATAATAAATAAGGTTATTTTCTGGGTAAACTTGCGTATTTACTTCATTTTTTGTGTGGAATTATTCATACAATGATATTTATTTATTTTCTTATAAAGAAATAACTGTTTTATTTCAATTTTGTTTTAAAAAAGGCCGAAAACATCGAGTTCGCTATTACACTCCATCAGGTGAATTCCCCAGAGCTATGTAAGGAAAGTACCAAGAGCGGCGTTTAGCTAGGTTTTCGAATTCGTGAATTATAAAATGCTCAATAAACAGTTTAAAGAAATCTCTTTTTTTCTACAAATGATAGGACATTTTCACTAGCCCGATTATGATTTCCAACAAAATTCCATTGTAGCAATGCTCGCTAGACGAATAAAAATATGACCCCAAGTAAATCTGGAAACCCACGACGTTTTGCCAGCAAATTATTCTAAGACAACAATTTGTTGGTCAGTTGTTTTTTCACTTTCAAATGATTTATTTCATGTTTGATAAAGTAATGTTTACTTGTATTAAGAACCAAATTTTTTGGGTAAAATTCCATTCTTTTTTATTTAATAAGGCCATCCTTAAAAAAATGTTTGTTTGCAGTAACCCGACCCAGAGTTTTCAAGGTGGGTAGGTAGGTCGATTTTTTTTTTTTTTTTTTTTATTGAACTGTACTCCCAAATAAACATGGAATTTCAAAATGCTGGACAATTTATGCTTTGATAATCTGGTAACAATTAATAAATTGATAAATGAATTCTAATTAAATAATACCTACATTTTATTTCTTCTAATAACCTTTAAAAGAACAAAAACAAAGCACAAGGCATAATTTTCTGATTCAAAAAAAATAATTTTTTTATCCAGACCATGAAAAAAACTTTTGAGTAGGGGCAAATTTTGTGAGTCGGTCGCGTTACTGCAAACAAACATTTTTTTAAGGATGGCCTAAAAAAGAAATATTATTTTAAATAAAAGTTGCAGCAAAAAAACTTCATATTTTGTCCAGTAATATGTAGGATCCAAGAATGCATATTTCAGAAGTAAAACTTGTCTAATCCAGGATTATGGATAGGGTTTCTTAATCGGACAAAAATCATAATCGATCATCGAAAATAATCGAACAACCTTTTTCGATCAATCATCGATTATATAATCGAAACATTTACGATAACAAAGTAAATGTGTACAATGCATATATCATGCTTTAATTTTTATAAGAATTCCATTAATATTCTATATTTTGTGTAACTACCACTTAATCAATTGAAATAAACTAGTTACTCATGCTTATGTTCATCCTTGAGTAAAAATTTTTAATCAAATAAAATCATTATATCTATGAAATTATTATGTCTCAATTCCAATAAAGGAATGAATAAGCTATGTATGGGAACAAGAGAAGTTGGTCATTAACAAAAATGCCAGTTTTTTTAATGACACTATATATTGATATTGTAACCATCTTTAGTGTGTAGAATAATTTTATACATATCTTCTTTGTGTGAAGTCAACATGTTTATTTCATATTTACAAATAGACTGTGTAGCAATTTTCTAATTTCAAATTTGAGTATAGTATGTCTTTAAACTAGAAATGCCCTCACTGTCAACTATAACCTCAATGGCCCACCAGTAAAGTGCTTTCAGTCATTTCATTTTATGAAAATTATTATTGGGTAACCAAAGCTCTTTTGAATTTAAGTGTTGTTAATATACCAGTGAGTCACATTAAGTTAACAGCAGAAAGATAAATTAACCAATGAATGCGATTATTGATATACTTTGTATTCGATCATCGCTAATCGGTCCTATAAACGATCAATTATCGATTATACTCGATCATCGTTTAATCCCTAATTATGGATGTAGCCAATAGGTCTGGCGATCGAATAAAAAAAATCACCAAAAAAAGGTGTTTAATATTTCTTTTTTAAGTAAATTTTTTTGACATAATCAGGTCTAGGATTTCATGATATTTACAGACAGTCTGTAAATTTATGGACCATCTATAATTTTACAGATTTTTCTATCTGTAAATTTATAGACATTAAATGCGAAAATAGTATAAGTTGTAATTAAATTAAAAACCGCAGGCTAATAAGAATAAATTTACTGATTATATGATTAAATGTAACAGTATGATAAGATTCAGAACAATTTGTTGACTTTCAATTTTCACTTTTAACAAAAATTTCAAAGTCATCATACAAAGATGAAACTTATCTCATTAGCTTTGTTAATAGAAACAATCATTATAACAACTTATTTTAAGCTGCGGATTTTAGTATAAAACTAAAAATAGCAAATTTAACATTGAGGATCTGTAAATTTATGGACTAAAAAATCTTTAAATTTATAGACTATCCATAAATTTACTGACAGTCCATAAATATCATGAAATCCTAGACCTGATAATCACGCATCGTTCTATTCATGTAACACCTTTAAAGCTTGGAAATTTTGATAAAAAATCTCATGTACCATTGCTACATTGAACTTACTGGAGCCAGGTCGATCAACTTCTCGGAGAATGTGGGTCATTCCTGCCTTGTAACCAATGAAGGCTGTAAGATGAACCGGGTTTGATTTGTTATCCTTAGGAAACGCCTTGCATTTACCACGCTGTCTCCTTGATCTCTTCTTTGGAAGAAACCCTTTAGAGCCATGTCGGGGCGCAGAAAATTTTCTGTGGGACTAAAAATGAACAAAAGCATAAGGAAAAACAAAATTAATTGGTTTAGAATAAATTTCAAACAGTTTTATTACTCGCAAACAGAAAATTGAAGTGATTCTTTCAGATTTAATTTACACTGCACAAGTACACGACCTACCATCTTGCCTGCTCGACGGAAAAGGCTGATTGTTGGTACAAAATTTACGACAATGAAAAATTATAATAGAATATATACGGTATTGTTTCATATCGTAAAAAACATTTTTTATCATTATTGTAAGAATTTATTGACATAAATCGTTGATAAACTTTTATGAATAAAAGTAAATATAACTATATTGTCGTAATGCTTTCCGTAAACGAATTACGGTAACTTGACCGTCCTTGGCGAATTGGGAGACGAGTTTTTTTGTACTTTTTAAACGACTCCACAGTTATGTCGTCGACGGACGGTCGGACGGACGGTCCAGAAACTCCATTAGAGAGATATATTCCTGCCGATAGTTTTCAGACTTTGAAAAAACCTGTGAAATTTATCAGAGGTTTGTAATTTTCAAAATAACTCGCTCCTTCAAAGTTCTTGTCTTCCAAAATTAAGAATCCCTAAAGAAAGCCCAACACAGCAAAATTGAAAATGTTGCAGGCTCGGTTTGATTGAGCAAGTTCATGAACGGTACTGTCTAGATTTAACATGAACTGGTATAATGTGGACGGATTTTTGCAACATCCGCAGATATGTTTATAGGCCGCTTTTATTATTTTTCTTCTAAATTATTCTGATGCAGTAGAATCTATACAACGTTTTGTGTCCGGTTGATAGTCCCTGACCAGAAGGTAAAGGGTCAACTCTGCCCTATACCAACTTGGCACGGGTCAACTCGGCACAGGTGAACTCGGCCCTCTATTAAAAACCTATACGGCAGGGTTTTACATCTCCTTGAAATTTTAGGGGTCCAGTGGATGCACAGCCTAGAAAAGTAGGGGTCCAGGCCTGAATTTTAGGGGTCCAAAATTATATTCACTATAAAAGACTATGAAGACCACTCTATTTTGCCACGGTTTTGTAATATAAATCTGTGATTTTGCTTAAAATCTTTATTTACCCTGTAAGAGATATGCATGTATATTGTACTGTTTTCATAAGAAGTATATGATTTCAATATCTTTTATCACTAGGTTTTTTTATAGCCCTTTAGTGGCTCTTTACAATTATATCATGTGCTATTTCCAAGGCTTATAAGTCTTTGAATGGCTGGAATGTCAAGTTTTAGTAGCATATTCTGTTATTGATAAGGTGATTACACCAACAGACTGAAAATTTGTACTGATCTATTTGTAAATATTTTAGCTGAACTAGTAAACACACAATAGATAACTTTACAGACCAGTCAGCTAAATATGTTGCGTTTTTAAAAATATCATATAACAAAAGGCAGACGAAACCGCTTTTGCACCTCCTCATAAGCTGGGACATACCTGATGTCCCAGTCATAAGTTAAGTTCGCCGAAACCATTATATTTATAACACCAACGATAATAACATACCCAGTGACTTAATTTCTATAACACTATGAAAATAAGTTTGCAAAAAGCACTGCCTTTTTTATTATCGCCGTTCATGTCGCATCGACATTGGATACGCTAACCAATAGTAATTGCTTGTTATAAATAGTCCGACTAAATATAGCAACAGAAAAACCAAAAACAGCTACCTAAAATAGATTTATGGTAAACGTCATCAGTTACTGTAGCTTGCACAATAAACGTCATCAGTTTCTGCAGCGGGCACTTGCAAATAGCATGCGCAGTAGATTTCAATTATGTTAACTTCCGAAATAAACAATGCTCGCTGTATTAGATTTAAATGGAATTTTGTGAGCTTCGAGAAGAAAGAGATAAAATCATGTCGGGTCAGAAACAATAATATCTATTGTCTAGGATTATTTTTGTGCGTACACTTGGACGCAAGTGGATAACTTATATGCGTACATGTCAAAATTTATGCGTATAGGGACGCAGAATTCTGCGTCCCGTAAAACCCTGATATAGATTGTTTAGTTTATAAAAAAATTATGGAGTAAATTACTATAAAAGTATTCAGAGGTATGTTCATTAACAAACAGAAATTTAAAAAGTTGACAGTGTACATGTACATATTTGAAATTATCTTTGTTAAGAAGAGATATCAAGATAATAATTTTAAATATTGATCTTTACAATACAGTCGAACTTCGTTCGCTCGAACTCGGAGGGCCTGTGCAAATTTGTTCGAGAGATCGTAGTTCGAGCCAACCGAGGTTGAACTATTAAATATTATGTTAATCGTATGCCTAAAGGTTTATTAGCATACATTGATCCACAGATCTACATACACCGGATTAGAAACTCCGAAAAATAAACAACTGTCCGATCTATACCCACAATCCTTTGCGCGCTTCGGTAATTATCGGATTTTCCCGCTAGTCTCCGATTTTCGCGCACTCGTTAAACTTCGGCGATATCCGCTAATCAATGTTTACATTGCCGTCGTATTGTAAATTACGATAAAACTCAACAAATAAAGGAATAAAATGTTTATTATGATAAATATATTTTGTTTATTTGTTTATTTGCAATTTGCCTTTTAATTTAAATCCATATTTCAAGTTTTTTTTCTTTACAATCAATTTCTACCCACCTTTAACTTCATCGTTAACTATTGCTTCATATATCAGACGAAAAAGAATCCGCTTTTATCGTCCGTGTATCGCCGTGAAATCAATATGGCGGTATCACGACTACGGTTTCCCAGGATGCATCAAATCTCGGAAAATCCCGCGACATATGATAACTTACGAGAAACGATTTGCATCTATGTTGAATTTAACTGTGTGACGTCACAAGTTGCTTCTCCTGTCTATTCAACTCCGTGATTGATCGAATGATAAATACGTCAATATTTATATAATTGTTTGTTAGTGCATCATTCTGTTCGTCGAATATGTCATAATCAGAATTATTATCCCAGTGTTTTCAATTAAGTATTAATGGTACGCTGTGTTAATCTATATTCATGCATATTGTAATTGGTTGAGTTTGATTGGGCAAAGTGTTGAACAATGTTCAAAATATATTTATATGTTTATAATGGGATGAATTTAATTTTAAAAAATAAATTGAAAAAATATTTAAAAAAAAAACGTTTTACAGCAGCATCTATTTGTAGTCATTTACTAAAATGAACACACATACACATATCATTCTATAAATAGATAACACTGTTACAATTCACATTACATGAACCACATTTGTAAATAAAGCCGTCCGGGTAAACGTCATTCTTTATTGACTTTTGCATATTTCACCAGTTATTTTCTTTTTACAGTTACCATAAACGGCAAATCAACAATATTATCATAACAAACAAATCGGTTACAACACCTCTTATTTTGTATCACTTAACCATAATTACCTTTGTCGTGATCACGAGGTGTTAAAAACTTGTATCGCCAACTGTCATTTATTTAGGACATGTTGACTTGTATTTTTGTGTTCGACTGAAAAGGTGTGATTTTTACTATATTTCTGCCGAAGGGACCAAAGATCAGGTTCGAGAGTTCGAGCGATCGGTGTTCGAGCGATCCGAGGTAGAACAATATATATTATGAATAAAAGTAATCATTACCAGTAATATATGATTATGGGCCGAGTTGACCCGTGCCAAGTTGGAATAAGGCCGAGCTGACTCGAGGGCCGAGTACGTTTTAGGGTCGAGCTGACCCTGATTCCGACCAGTATACTACAAAAAACACACTGGCTTACCGCTATATTGACTATGATATATATCAGTTATGTGAGACCTTGTATTGCGTAAATACAATATGCATCTGCTTTATTTAGAATATCTTTCATGACATGACATGATTTCAATACTCATAATTATGCAAGAAAACATTTTAATTTACTTTCTTTTATTTTTCAGTTCTTAAATAAAATAATACAAGTCAGCAAATCACCTTTTATAATTTTTGAAAAAAAGAAAAGTTAAAAAAAGGAAAACATCGTCGTCCACACATATCTAATTCTAAATGTGCATTTAGGATAACCTGTAAAGGCAGATCTCGGAAATTATTAGGTTATATTTGTTTGCAATTAGTTTTTATATGTTAATACTCGGCTTATTACCAAATAGATTATATACAGTTTTTTCAGCATATGCTTCACTTTACTCATTGGAATGCTTCATGAATAATTACAAGCATGCCAGATTCCTGGCATGATAATTGGTGAACTTTCCCTACAGTCTTGTCTGCAGCGAACAGAACAATGTGACTTAAACACATTGCTATATGCAGTCACGATTCCCCACTGGGCATGAAAAAAAGTGCATTCTGACCGGGACTGGCACCCTGGACCCTTGATAAACTGTTTTGGGCACTATCCAGCCGTTGACACATCTTTTCCCATAATAAATGAACATTTCTAAACCATGACATATTTGTCAATCCAAAAATATTTAGGTAAAAGAATATTTTCAATTTTTTTTCTAAATCTGGATTTTTCCTCCGTTTAAAACCTGCAAAGTTCACAGTATGCACTGGTCACGACTGTCACTGTTTGCAGTGATTTATTTTACAAATCATTTATCTACTAATGATGAGGATAAGGGTGTGAAGCAGCAAAAATTTCCTTATGAAATTCTTGATGCGTAGCACTTACCTGAAAAATTTATTTAACTCTATTTTTATGCCACCGCAGTATCTAAGATGCAGTGGCATACAGCGATTCACCTCTGTGTGTTTGCATACATTTGTTTGTGCGCCCACTGGTCCAACTTCCACCAAACTTGCCAGAATTGTTCTTTGGTTGAAGGGCTTCCAAAGTTGTTCAAAGAATTTTATTCCATGCAAAAATCTGTCTGCCATGGCAACCAAAAGGAATTATATTTAAATTAGAAATTTAGAAAAAATTCTTCTCAAGAACCACAAGGCTTAGAGCATTGATATTTTGCAGAAGGCATTATCTGGTAGACCTCTACCAAGACTGTACAAGTTATAGCCTTTGGGTCGTTGATTTTTATTATGTACATAAATAAAGAAATTAAAAATCTTCTCATCTGAAAGTGCAAGGCCCAGAGCTTTGATATTAGGTATATGAAAACATCTATAGGTCCTCTTCCAAAGTAATTCAAAGTTTGCCTCTAGTGTCCAAATTGATTCTGTGGGGTCATAGATTTCCTTATATGTTTATATAGTAAAAGTTAAAAAAATCTTCTTCACTGAAATGACAAAGGCTAAAGCTAAGAATAAAGATATTTGACATGAAACACCAATTAGGGTCATAGGTTTTCCTTTTATGTATAAGTAAAAATTTATAGCAAAAAGAAAGGTTAGAGCATGAAACATTGTGTAGTTGACCTCTACTAAGTTCAAATTATGGTCTTCAAATTTTGGCACTGGGGTTCAAGTTGGCCCTGCCCAGGGGGCATAGATTTTCATTACAAACATTATTATAGTAAAATCTTAACATTAAGTACTGAAGGTGAGCTTATATGATCACAATTTGTCTGGCATCTGTCAATGCATCCATGGTCAACTTTTTTCAAATGACTTCTCCTCTGTAACCACTGGGTCAGATTTGATGAAATTTTCCTTGCATGTTCATAGCATGAAGCGCTACTAAAATTATCCAAATGGTTCTGCTCTATTGAACATCTGGATTCGAAGGGCTAAAAATAGATTTTGAAAATGAAATCTTAAAAAATATTCTTCTCTGAAAGTGGCAGACCTAGAGCTTAGATATTTTGTGTGTAGTATCATCTAATAGTACTCTACATGAATTGTTAAAATAATAAAACTGGCTCTGTCCTAGAGGGCGATGGCTTGTCCTAATAGAATAAATTCTTCAAAAATCTTCTTCATTAAAACTGCAAGGGCTGTATCTTAGATATTTAGCATGCATCATTGTCTATAGGAACTTGACCTTTAATTGGCTTGGACTGTCAAGGTCAAATTATTGAAATTGCTAAATTTGTCATATCTTTACCCCCGAAACAAAGTTTGGGGGGGTATATAGGAGTCACTCGGTGGTCGGTTGGTTTGTTGGTCGGTTGGTCCAGTGGTCCGTTGCATTTTCCTTGTCCCGAGCATAACTTGAAGACTTATGGTTGGAATTCAATACAACTTCATACAATGGTCAAGCACATTGAGAGGAAGTGCAGTGTGCAAGAAACATAACTCCATCTTCACTAATCACAGAGTTATTGCCCTTTGCTACTTTTCCTTGTCCGGAGCATAACTTGAGAATTCAAAACCACTTCATACAATGGTCAAGCACAATAAGGGGAAGTGCAGTGCACAAAAACCATAACTCTATCTAAAGTAATTACAGAGTAATTGCCCTTTGTTACTTTTCCATGGCTTTCTTTTGTCCGGACCATAACTTGAAAACTACTAATTGGAATTCAATACAATTTCATACAATGGTAAAGTATATTGAGAGAAAGCGTAGTGCACAGAAACCATAACTCTTTCTTAACTCATTTAAGAGTTTTTTCCCTTTGTTACTTTTTATTGTCCAGTGCATAACTTGAAAATTAATGGTTGGAATTCAATGAAACTTCATACAATGGTCAAGGGCAGTGAGATGAAGTGCAGTGCACAAGAAACAACTATATTTAGACAAAAAACAGTTATTGCCCTTTGTTACTTTTTTTGTCCAGTGCATAACTTGAAAACTATTAGTTGGAATTCAATACAACTTCATACAGTGGTCAAGCCCAATGAAAAGAAGTGCAGTGTACAATGGCCATAACTCCATCTTCAGTATTTGTAGAGTTATTGTTCCTTTTCCTTGTCCGGTGCATAACTTAAAAACTTATGTTTAGATTTCAATGCAACTTCATACAATGGTCAAGGGCAATGAAAGGAAGTGCAGTGCTCAAGAATGGTAATTCTTTCTGGACTTATTACAGAGTAATTCAATAAAACTTATCAATGGTCAACCTCATTGAAAGGAAATGCAACATACAAGAACCACAACTATCTTTAATTGCCCACAACCAAGCTGTATTTCAATTCTTTTGCAAGGTTTTCTGTTACTAGTAACTTCCTCATTTCCGAAGCAGTCTTGCTGGGGGTATTAATCACATTTATTGATAGTTCTAGTTTATTTTTGGATTTAATTCATGCTAGGCCAAAAGAACTCTTGATGACAACACTGACATTTTGAAAAATTAAGTATGGCCTAGATTAAATTACTTTGTCTATCAAGGTCAGATATGAAATTATATTTTGTACAAGAAAATAATGTTTTCTAGGAGTATTTTTACTACAATATTCTTCAGATGTGTTTGACTTTAATAATAAAAAGTGGAGTGTGTCCTCCATTTGGCTGTTGTTTATAAGATATATTCCTTCATTCTTTCTAGAGCAATTGCTTGTTTTTTTTCAGAAAAATTTGTTCTGCCATTTAGATCAAAAGATCCTCCTGTATATTATCACAGACGTTTTGAACGAGTTCCAACTATAGATCAGTGTGAAGTTGATGATCCACTGTGTAGATATGAGGCAAATATACAGTTTATTAGAGACAAGTAAGTGATTACAGTAATAATATAATGGAGATAGAATACACGAAACTAACAAAACTGTTGAGCATATTAGGTGAACTCTAAAAAGGTCAAGTCTAAAGGTTATATGAAACTGTTTTGTCACCATTGTATGGCATTGTTTTTCTGCATGTATTTTTGATAATACAGTAGTAGTGCTTTTTATACCCCCAAAAATGAAGTTGGGGGGGGGGGGGTATATAGGAGTCACCCGGTGGTCGGTTGGTCGGTCGGTCCAGACGTCCGTTGCATTTTTCTTGTCCAGAGCATAACTTGAAGAATAATGGTTGGAATTCAATATAACTACATACAATAGTCAAGCACATTGAGAGGAAGTGCAGTGCACAAGAACCATAACTCTATCTTGACTAATTACAGAGTTATTGCCCTTTGTTACTTTTCCTTGTCCGGGGCATAACTTGAAAACTACTGGTTGGAATTAAAAACAACTTCATACAATTGTCAAACACAATAAGGGGAAGTGCAGTGCACAAGAACCATAACTCTATCTAAAGTAATTACAGAGTTATTGCCCTTTGTTACTTTTCCATTGCATTCTTTTGTCCGGACCATAACTTGAAGACTAATTGTTGGAATTCATTATAACTTCATACAATGGTCAAGCACATTGAGAGGAAGTGCAGTGCTCAAGAACCATAACTCCATCTTGACTTATTACAGAGTTACTGCCCTTTGTTACTTTTCCTTGTCCAGAGCATGACATGAAAACTACTGGTTGGAATTCAAAACAACTTCATACAATGGTCAAGCACAATAAGGGGAAGTGCAGTGCACAAGAACCATAACTCCATCTTGACTAATTACAGAGTTATTGCCCTTTGTTACTTTTCCATTGCTTTTTTTGTCTGGAGCATAACTTGAAGACTAATGGTTGGAATTCAATATAACTTCATACAATGGTCAAGCACATTGAGAGGAAGTGCAGTGCACAAGAACCATAACTCCATCTTGACTAATTACAGAGTTATTGCCCTTTGTTACTTTTCCTTGTCCAGAGCATAACTTGAAAACTACTGTTTGGAATTCAATACAACTTCATACAGTTGTCAAGGACATTAAAAGGAAGTGCAGTGCACAAGAGCCATAACTCCATTTTGACAAAATACAGAGTTACTGCCCTTTGATACTTTTCCTTGTCCGGAGCATAACTTAAAAGGTACTGGTTGGAATTCAAAACAACTTCATACAATGGTCAAGCACAATAAGAGGAAGTGCAGTGCACAAGAACTATAACTCCATCTTCAGTTTTTATAGAGTTATTGCCCTTCGTTCCTTTTCCTTGTCTTTCTGGACTTATTAGAGTAATTCAATAAAACTTCATCAATGGCCAACCACATTGAAAGGAAATGCAACATACAAGAACCACAACTATCTTTAATTGCCCACAACCATAACTCTATATTTCAATTCTTTTACAAGGTATTCTGTTACTAGTAACATCCTCATTTCCGAAGCAGTCTTGTGGGGGTATTAATCACATTTAGTGATAGTTCTAGTTAGCTTATCTGTGACATTGCTAAGTGGATCTCTACTAAAGTTACACAGGTAAATATTGGCCCCTTCCTGATGGTCACTTATTTTGTGTAGTAAAAATGTCTCAAAAATCTTCTGAACTCTAATAAAACTCTAATAAAAATGCCAAGAGGTTAGATATTTTGCTTGAAGCATCACCTTGTGGTTTTATAATTGGCCTTGCCCGGGTAACTTAAGTTGAAATAGATTTGTATAGGAAAAGACATTCAAGTTTTTTATGAAACTGCAATGCCTAGAGCTAACATATTTGGCCAGTAACATTTTCAAGTGGATTTTCATAAAAGTTGTATAAGATATCCCCATGGAGTCAAATTAGACTTGTATAGTAAAAATAATTAAGACATGTCCTCAGAGACTATAATGCCAAGAGCTTAGATATTTTGAATGTAACATCACCTTGTGGTCTTCTCTAAAATTAAATATTGGCCCACCCAGTGTCACTAAGATTATATAGACTTGTATATAGGATAATATATTTAAATCTTCTTTTGTGAAACTACAATGCCAAAAGTTTAAATATTTGGCATGTAGCATTGCCTAGTAGACCTCTACAAAAGTTTCATAAGTCATGTGATTCACATCCCAGAGATTAAAATTGTCCCATCCTAGGGTCACTGATTAGCTCGGCTTTTTTGAATGTCCAAAGTGGGCACAAATTATATAAGAGACAGAGTTGTTGTTTGTTACATACATGTAAACCTGGTCCTGTCAAATTTTTGATTTCCTTGTTAATTGTCAATTTGTAATAAGATTTTTAATACCTCCCTTGATTATTATTAACCATATAGACAAGTTGATTGTTTTTGCGTACCAATGGCTTTAAAGATCCTGTATGTTGTACTTAAAAGGATGTAACATATGTATGTATACGTATGTACGGTAGTCTATGTTTAATGAGGGTCCATCCGCCCATTAAGGCACAAAAAGCAGCATTCACTGTGGAGCACAGACATGTCACCAGTCATGCCCTTAAAGAGTTAATTTTGAAGCACATATTGGTGATAATTTTACTCCATGCAATTTCCACAGAGTATTAGTCGAATATATGAATTTTGAGCCAAAAGTAGGTCACTGTACGGCGGTCAATGAGAACCTAAATGTTCATTTACCTGAGACAATGAATAGAGGAGGTAGCCCTTAAAGGGCTGTTGGTGCCAAGCAAATGGCCTGTCTTACAAGCATCCATGTAAAATGTTAAATATGTATAGCAAATCTTTATGTACTGACCTAGACTTTATCGAGAATAATTTTTTAATTACCCCCCTTTACTTACATGAAATGTTAAATTTGGTAATATCTTTTAAAATTTACAATATTGGTAAATCTTCATTTGAGCATCAGATTTATGATATAAAACCATTAAAAAATAGTTTCAAAGGATCTTTATATACACAAAGATACAACCCATCATTCTGGCAAGTTACAGAACTGTGGCATCTATTTCCCCAGACTAAAAACTCATGTAAATGTATTTAGAGTAAACTTCTACATGTACCAATTTCCTCATGTTACACTTACTTCCTCTTTATGCACTTTGAAAATAAGTATGGTAAACTTGATAGCTTCCTCACATGACAGCATTCAAAGTCCCGGACAAAATTAGAACAAACAGTAGTAAGGAACAGATGATTTCAAGTCAGCAAATAAAACCAATCAGCTATGGATGCTCCACTTTTATTTCAATGCTCTATGACATGTACCATGTGGTTTGGATTAGCTGAACCTTTACAAAATCAAATTTCTTTTTGTATATCATATTAAGGAAAAAGTCTAATTGAAAATGAAAATATATTTTTCAGGCAAGTTGATTCTGCGATAATCAAGATATTACGTCGTCGACTCACAGAGTGCAGAGCATATTGGAATGAAGATGCTGAGCTTAAATGTCAAAAAGAGCATTCTTTATTTGTAGACAATTTGCAAAATTGGTTTGTTAAGTGTAAGTTTGTATAAAGTGTTCTTTTTCTTAGTAATTTTAAAGGTAAATTAATTATGCTCCCCCGAAAAATTTCGGGCGAGCATATAGTCGGCGCCTTGTCTGTATGTCCTTCCTTCCGTCCGTCTGTCTGTCCGTCCGTTGTCTTGTCCGGAGCATAACTTGAAAACCCTTGGAGATAATTTGTTTAAACTTCATACAGTGGTAGAGGGCATTGAGGAGGAGTGCAGTGTCAAAGAACCATAACTCTATTTTGCCCAGTTTTTAGCTCACCTGTCACAAAGTGACAGGGTGAGCTTTTGTGATCGCTTTTCGTCCGGCGTCCGGCCGTAAACTTTTACTTTAAATGACATCTCCTCATAAACCACTAAGCCAATTTCATCCAAACTTCACAGGAATGTTCCTTTGGTGGTCACCTTTAAAAAGTGTTCAAAGAATTTAATTCCATTTAGAACTCTGGTTGCCATGGCAACCGAAAGAAAAATCTTTAAATATCTTCTTTTAAAAAACCCTAAGAGCTAGAGCTTAGATATTTGGCATGAAAAATCTTCTAGTGAGTGTCTACCAAGTAAGTTCAAATAAAAGCCCTGGGGTCAAAATTGGTCCCGCCCCAGGTGGTCATTGATTTTCCCTATATGCATATAGTAAAAACTTAAAAAATCTTCTTTTAAAGAACCTAAAGAGCTAGAGCTAAGATATTTAGCATGAAACATGTTCTAATGAGTGTCTACCAAGTTTGTTCAAATAGAAGCCCAAGGGTCAAAATTGGCCCCGCCCCAGGGGGTCATTGATTTTCCCTATATGCATATAGTAAAAACTTTAAATATCTTCTTTTAAAGAACTCAAAAAGCTAGAGTTTAGATATTTAGCATGAAACATGTTCTAATGGGTGGCTACTAAGTTTGTTCAAATAAAAGCCCTCGGGTCAAAATTGGCCCCGCCCGTGGGTCATTGATTTTCCTTATATGTGTATAGCAAAAACTTAAAAAATCTTCTTCGAAAAAACCCAAGTAGCTAAAGTTAAGATATTAAGCATTAAACATCTTCTAGTAAGTGTCTACAAAGATTGTTCAAATAAAAGCCCTGGGGTCAAAACTGGCCCCGCCCCAGGGGTGTCATTGTTTTTAACTATATGTGTATAGTAAAAACTTAAAAAATCTTTTTTTTAAAAACCCAATGAGTTAGCTTAGATGGTTAGCATGAAACATCTTCTTATGGGTGTCTACCAAGTTTGTTCAAATAAAAGCCCTTGGGTTAAAATTGGCCCTGCTGGGGGGTGGGGGGGGGGGTAGGGTGGCGGGGGGAGGAAGCGGGGCGCTCTATACAGGTCAGCAACCTCAGGGCCATCATGGCCCTCTTGTTTAATTATCTCCCCTTATAGAAAAATCTTGTCCGGGACATAACTCTCAAACTATAAGAGATATCAACATGAAACTTTGTAGGTGAATAGATCTCAATGGGTAGATGTGCAGTGCATAAGAACAATAACTTTTTTTGTCCTAATTTTTGAGTTATTGCCCTTTGTTAATTTTAACATTTTGAACTTTGTCCGGAACATAACTCTAAAAGTATAAAAGATATCAAGATGAAACATTGTAGGTAGATAGATCTCATTGAGTAGAAGTGCAGTGCAAAAGAACCAAAACTCTGTTAAGCCTCATTTTTTAATTATCTCCCCTTTTAGAAAAATCTTGTCCAGGACATAGCTGTAAAACTATAAGAGATATCAACATGAAACTTTGTAGGTAGATATATCTCAATGGGTAGATATGCAGAGCACAAGAATCATAACTCTGCCTTGGCTAATTCTGGAGTTATTGCCCTTTGTTTATTTTTACTTTTTGAAGTTGTCCGGGACATAACTCGAAAACCATAAGAGATATCAACAAGAATCTTTGTAGGTTGATAGATCATATTGATTAGAAGTGCAGTGCAAAGAACAGTAACTCTGCCTTGCCTAATTTTGGAATTACCGTATAAGTACTTATTTCTGCGGGCTTAAAATTCTGCGATTTTGTTTAAAATAAGGGGTTTTAAATTTCTGCGTATCTTATTTCTGCTATGTCATCATTCTCGCATTGATGTTTTTTATTTCTGCGTTTTAATTTAGATATTTTTACAAAATTAACCGATACAAACAGACAACATTTCAAGATATGTTGATGTAACATGTACATTACTTCCTGTAAACATGCAGACGACTTATAATGTGTGTTCATCGTGATCACCATGTATCGGTATATAAAATATCAACAAGGAAAGGCGGCGTTCAATGAACGCAATAACAAAACTTTCATAAACAAAAATCAACAACATGCAATGACAACAATTAATTGTAATACTGCATGTGTATAAATATGAAGTGTGAAAAATAAACAATGGTAATATCGCACTTAGACACAATATATTGTACAAATACAAAAGGGTATGTTTATTGCACCCGTCAAACTATAATAGTTTTATTTTTAAAATAAATCAAGCTTAGGGTGAGCGAAAATCACAAACATGATATTTTTTTAAACAAAAAGAATAAGTAAAGTAACTTTTTTTTCTAATATTTTATTCATGACGGATACATAAAGAAAAATTATGCCCATCTACAAAAGCTGATAACGGTACATGGTAATGTAATTATACAATACATGTAGTTGACATATTCCGACATACATGTAGACATAGCGAAAGGCTTAATTTTCTGCGGTTTTTAAATCTGCGGTGTCGTTATAAACCGCAGAAATAGCAGAAATAAAAGTCCCGCAGAAAAAAGTACTTATACGGTATTGCACTTTGAACTTTTTCCAGGGACATAACTCTGAAACTACAAGAGGTGTACTTTCTTGTGTCCAAAACCTAATCGGGGAGCATCACACGGCTCAAACCGGGCTCTTGTTTTTTATTAGTCCTCTACCAGTTTAAATACTGAAAATATTTTTATGAAAATTGAAATATGGATTGATGGCAGTCTGGAGATTATGCACATCCTATGCCTAAAACTTTGGTTCCTATGGCAACATATAGACTTAAAATATGGCAAATATAACACAAAAACTGGACTAAGTACTGACAATTTTTTTATGAAACTTGATATTATAAATGATATAATTAAATGGCCATTGCCATTCAGAATGTTTCTGGGGTTCTAACCAGTAGGGGCTTTTGTATTGCTTGCAATACTTTGATAATTGCATGTTCATTCAGTTTATATCTTACTTAAAATATAGGATTGGAAATGTTAAATCAATATGTTTTGTATAATATCTGCAGCCCTTTTTTCAATTGAAAATGTTCATCATTGTGAAAGGGATACAAATACATAGAGGATATTCAAGTTTTTTCTATAAATACATGATTTATTTTCATCGAGTGGTATGAAAATAAATATTTCATGAGTGGCGGTAGCCACGAGTGAAATATGGTAATTTTCATGTCACAAGATGAAAATAAATCATGTATTTATAGAAAAAACTTGAATTTTCTGTTTATTATGTACATTTTTCTCTTTTTTGCGATAAAATTTGAAAAACTTTCCCTTAAATTTTGTGTACTGGTTGAATTTAAAAGAAAGTAGTCCGGCAAGACACCAGTGAAAATACGGAAAATATGTTTCACTGCAGTGAAAAATAAATTTTTACAGTGAAAATACGGAAAATGAAAATACGCATTTTATTTCATCAATATTTCTCAATATTTCATTTATAAGTATATAATAAATGTATGTTTTTAGAATCTATTTCAAATCATAACAAAGACTAGTGAGAATCAGACACAGGGGTATCTAGTTTATAATATTCACAACATAATCCTTACTAGTTTGTTCAATTTTTAGCTCACTTGAGCTTGCTGAGGGTAAGCTTATAGGATCCTTGAATGTCCTTCATCTGTCCACATTTATTCCTTAACACTCTAGAATCAATCGTCATCAAACTTGGTCAGGATGCTTGTCTAGGTATTGCTCAGAAGAGTTCAAACATGGGTCATCTCGGATGAAAAACTAGGTCATAGGAGCTAAAAATAGAAAAACCTTGTTAAAACTCTAGTGGCTACTGTTTTGATCTAAATAACCTGGAAATTGGTCTGAAAGTTTGTTTTGATGATTTCTAGGTCAAGTTCAAATATGTCTCACCTGGGGTCAAAGACTAGGTCGCATCGCGGCATCGCCCAAATATGGAAAATCCTTGTTATCACTCTAGTGGTCACATTGTTGACTCAGTCATCATCAAACTTTGTCAGGATGCTTGTCTAGATAATTGCTCATATAAGTATCAACATGGGTCATCTCGGATGAAAATCTAGGTCACAGAAGCTAAAAACAGAAAAATCTTGTTCACACTATAGTGGTTACTGTTTTAATCCAAATATCCTGGAATTTGGTCTGAAAGTTTGTTTTCATGATTTCTAGGTCAAGTTCGAATATGTCTCACCTGGGTTTGAAAAACTAGGTTACACAGCCCAAATATGGAAAAACCTTGTTAACACTCTAGTGGTCACATTTTTGACTCAATAATCATCAAACTTTGTCAGGATGCTTGTCTGGGAAATTGCTTAGATGAGTTCGAACATAGGTCATCTCGAATGAAAAACTAGGTCACAGGAGCTAAAAATAGAAAAATCTTGTTAACACTCTAGTGGCTACTGTTTTGATCCAAATATCCAAACTTGGTTAGGATGCTTATCTAGGTAATTGCTCGGATGAGTCCGATTGATCAAGTGAGTGATCTAGGGTCATCATGGCCCTCTTGTTATGAATTTTGGTAGGAATGTGAATATGAAAAGGGAGATGAGAAATTAACAAGCTTCATCAAAGTCCTTTGATGATTTTGGGTTACATGTATTTGGTATTTGAAAAAGGTCTTTTATTTTATGGAAAATGCCATTTTTTAATGGAAGAGTGTGAACTGTTGTCTGAAAGGAATTTGAGCCATATTTTGCCAGTGATTTACTAGATTTTATGAATGTAAAGAATAGTTAAGAAATGTGGCAAATTTTAACCTTTTGATGAATTTGAATGAAACACAGCATAAATGTAAAATGATATTAATGAAATGATGCTCATCAATGATGTATTTTTGAATTATGACTTTATGTAAAATTGAAATGGTCAATTTTTAAAGCTAAAATCTATGCCTGTTTCAATACTGGTGGGCTTAATCATTTTTCATTGTATAATGCAATTCCAAATGGAGTTGATTGTGAAAAATGAATAAGTTGAAATTGGAATTTATTAAACATTTGAACAGAAAAAGAACCACATTTAATGGGTTTAAAACAAGAATCTGATGTAAATATACCAGTAGTTTAAAATATATGCTCCCTGAAGGTAGAGTATCATTATATATATATTATAGTTGCTGCCTTGTCTGTCCTTCTGTCTGTCTGTCTGTTTCACACTACAGATTGGTGGCCATCTTATTGTAAACAGAACAAAAGAGAACAATGGAGTTCATTCTGTAACAAAATAATTGATTTCAAACCTTCTTGGAATTATGTTTACATGGATGATAAGCTATGTTATGTATTTTGTCTGATATGGATAAAATGATGTTACATATACCATTTCTTTTATATATATTACATATACCATTTCTTTTATATTTAAATTTTAGATGGAGAAATGGGCTTCAACGTTGATGTTGTTTCAGCTTACATGAAACAGAAACACAGAATGATCTGGCTACGACGAAAACATGAAAGTGGTGAAACTGATTTACAATACAGGGATTAATGTTATTGTATAAAATTTGGAAAGTGTGATTTCAAAAGAAACTTGTTGAAATTAAAACAGTACAATTTAATCTGTGTTGAATGATATGTGTTAAGATAGAGGGATGAAAATGTTATTTTATTTATATTTTTTTAGAGTGTTACCTAAAAAAATAGAAATTGCCAGAAACATTCTATAGCTTGATAATTGATAAAGGTATTCTCAAGGAATAAACAAATAAATGGTAAACAAGATTGTTTTGTAATTCTATTGGTAACATTCAGATGTATTTTCTAATTTTGTGTGGCTTCTACAGAGAAGTGGCGACATATAGGGATCACTTCTTCATTGCCTGTCCATCCAATTCCATGCAGAACTCTGGTTGCCATTGCAACCGAAAGAAAAAACTTAAAAAATCTTTTAAAAAACTGAGAGAGCTAGAGCATAAAACATCATCTAGTCAGTGTCTACCAAGTTTGTTGAAATAAAATCCTCGGGGTCAAAATTGGCCCTGTCCGGGGGGTCATTGATTTTCCTTATTAGTCCCCTACCGGTTTAACCGGAGGGGACTTTAGGTTTACCCTCCGTCCGTCTGTCTGTCAGTCCGTCCGTCCACAAAACTGGATCCCGCGATAACGCAAAAAGTACTGAAAATATTTCAACAATACTTGTCTGTACTGCAGGTTGTACCATTGTACTTGTACCATTGGTGTAGAGCAAGGTCAGGTTGTACCATTGGTGTAGAGCAAGGTCAGGTTGTACCATTGGTGTAGAGCAAGGTCAGGTTGTACCATTGGTGTAGAGCAAGGTCAGGTTGTACCATTGGTGTACAGCAAGGTCAGGTTGTACCATTGGTGTAGAGCAAGGTCAGGTTGTACCATTGGTGTAGAGCAAGGCCAGGTTGTACCATTGATGTAGAGCAAGGTCAGGTTGTACCATTGGTGTAGAGCAAGGTCAGGTTGTACCATTGGTGTAGAGCAAGGTCAGGTTGTACCATTGGTGTAGAGCAAGGCCAGGTTGTACCATTGGTGTACAGCAAGGTCAGGTTGTACCATTGGTGTAGAGCAAAGTAAGGTTGTACCATTGATGTAGAGCAAGGTCAGGTTGTACCATTGGTGTAGAGCAAGGTCAGGTTGCACCATTGGTGTAGAGCAAGGTCAGGTTGTACCATTGGTGTAGAGCAAGGTCAGGTTGTACCATTGGTGTAGAGCAAGGTCAGGTTGTACCATTGGTGTAGAGCAAGGTAAGGTTGTACCATTGGTGTAGAGCAAGGTCAGGTTGTACCATTGGTGTAGAGCAAGGTAAGGTTGTACCATTGGTGTAGAGCAAGGTCAGGTTGTACCATTGGTGTAGAGCAAGGTCAGTTTGTACCATTGGTGTAGAGCAAGGTAAGGTTGTACCATTGATGTAGAGCAAGGTCAGTTTGTACCATTGGTGTAGAGCAAGGTAAGGTTGTACCATTGATGTAGAGCAAGGTCAGGTTGTACCATTGGTGTAGAGCAAGGCCAGGTTGTACCATTGGTGTAGAGCAAGGTCAGGTTGTACCATTGGTGTAGAGCAAGGCCAGGTTGTACCATTGGTGTAGAGCAAGGTCAGGTTGTACCATTGGTGTAGAGCAAGGTCAGTTTGTACCATTGGTGTAGAGCAAGGTAAGGTTGTACCATTGATGTAGAGCAAGGTCAGTTTTGTACCATTGGTGTAGAGCAAGGTAAGGTTGTACCATTGATGTAGAGCAAGGTCAGTTTGTACCATTGGTGTACAGCAAGGTCAGTTTGTACCATTGGTGTACAGCAAAGTCAGTTTGTACCCTTGGTGTAGAGCAAGGTAAGGTTGTACCATTGGTGTAGAGCAAGGTAAGGTTGTACCATTGATGTAGAGCAAGGTCAGGTTGTACCATTGATGTAGAGCAAGGTCAGGTTGTACCATTGGTGTAGAGCAAGGTCAGGTTGTGCCATTGATGTAGAGCAAGGTCAGGTTGTACCATTGGTGTAGAGCAAGGCCAGGTTGTACCATGGGTGTAGAGCAAGGTCAGTTTGTACCATTGGTGTAGAGCAAGGCCAGGTTGTACCATTGGTGTACAGCAAGGCCAGGTTGTACCATTTGGTGTAGAGCAAGGCCAGGTTGTACCATTGGTGTACAGCAAGGTAAGGTTGTACCATTGATGTAGAGCATAGTCAGGTCGTACCATTGGTGTAGGGCAAGGTCAGGTTGTACCATTGGTGTAGAGCAAGGTCAGGTTGTACCATTGGTGTAGAGCAAGGCCAGGTTGTACCATTGGTGTAGAGCAAGGTCAGGTTGTACCATTGGTGTAGAGCAAGGCCAGGTTGTACCATTGGTGTACAGCAAGGTCAGGTTGTACCATTGGTGTAGAGCATAGTCAGGTCGTACCATTGGTGTAGGGCAAGGTCAGGTTGTACCATTGGTGTAGAGCAAAGTCAGGTTGTACCATTAGTGTACAGCAAGGTCTGGCTGTACCATTGGTGTACAGCAATTTCAGATTGTACCATTGGTGTAGAGCAAGGTCAGGTTGTACCATTGGTGTAGAGCAAGGTCAGGTTGTACCATTGGTGTACAGCAAGGTCAGGTTGTACCATTGGTGTACAGCAATTTCAGATTTTACCATTGGTGTACAGCAATTTCAGATTGTACCATTGGTGTAGAGCATAGTCAGGGTGTACCATTGGTGTAGAGCAAGGTCAGGTTGTACCATTGGTGTAAAGCAAGGTCAGGTTGAACCATTGGTGTTGTGCAAAGTCAGGTTGTACCATTAGTGTACAGCAAGTTCTGGCTGTACCATTGGTGTAGAGCAAAGTCAGATTGGACCATTGGTGTAGAGCAAGGTCTGGCTGTACCATTGGTGTACAGCAAGGTCAGGTTGTACCATTGGTGTACAGCAAGGTAAGGTTGTACCATTGGTGTACAGCAAGATCAGGTTTTAGAATTGGTGTAGAGCAATGACAGGTTGTACCATTGGTGTAGAACAAGGACAGGTTTTAGTATTGGTTTTCAGCAAGGTCAGGTTTTAATATTGGTGTACAACAAGGTCAGGTTTTAGTATTGATGTACAGCAAGGTCAGGTTTTAGTATTGGTGTACAGCAAGGTCAGGTTTTAGTATTGGTGTACAGCAAGGTCAGTTTTAACCATATGGTGTACAGCAAGGTCATCCTGCACATAATAGCAATCTGACAAGACACTACTGCTAATGGTTTTTATTAGTTTATATGAGTTAAAAATAGAAATAGATTTTAAATGATATCTCAACTTCTTGTTAGATTTTGATAAAACTATATAGGAATGCTAGTTCTGGGCATTTTTTTTTACAAAAATGTTTGTTACAATCTGCTAAACAAGATTTAAGATCTGAAAATTAGAAAAAAGCCCAATGGCCTTGTTCCCTGTCTACTATTGAGTTTTTTGTTAAGGTACATTTCTTAAATGGTATCAAAGATATCCACTTATAACTTCACTAATGAATTTGAAATGCACTTCTAAGGGGCAGATAATCCTGAAGCCAGTTTTCATAATTATACTTAGAATATTTTTTTTTTCAAAAACTATCACAGGTATTCACTTCAAACTTGAATTGTTTGTTCACTGTCAAGGGCAAGTAAGTCTGCTAAACACATTTGCAGGATTATTCCCTCTTTTTCTATGCTGCTTTTCATTACTATCAAACCCTGAGAAAAGTGGAGCACACTGTGGGCAGGTCTAGTATTGTTACATTGCATTGGCCAAAACACAATTAAGTGTCATACATTATTTGCATTGTTAGTGTCACAGGGTTAAATATCTCTTGTACTCGAGGAAGTACAGAAACAAGCTCTGGCCTAGTGTTCACAAAGAAAAGATCAGGATCAGATGATTCTGATTTTATTTTCATTGTTTTATAAAACTAAAACTGATCGTATTATGCTTTGATTAAATGGTACATATTTGAAATATAAATAATTTGCTTTTTTGCAAATAAACCAACCTATTTTGGGATAAAATCAACAAATAACAAAACTAATACAAAAATAATCAGATCAAAAAGATAATCAATTTTAGGATCAAGATCAAACTTTGGATCAACTGTAAAATGCCAATATCTTGTAAAAATAACAATAAATTTATTCTTAATTTTCATAAACATGCTATTTCAAGTCCAGTTTTATCAAGCTAATACTGAATATTTTATCTATTAGGATAAATAATAGAGAATATTTGAGCCTGATCTTCATCCTGAAATATTTCAGTATAAATTGAAATAAAGTAAACAGTAAATAAAGATTTAAATACTATATAATTAACTAAACATCTGACTCCTAAGAAGTGACCGGGACAGGAAAGCAAACAGTGTGTAGAAGTTAAGAATATTTAAAAGAACCAATGGATTTCTTTCTCACATAGAAACATATTACAACTCGCATAGAAACATATGAAAACGGACAAAACAATTGGACAAATACCACACAGAACAGGTGACCAGTGTTCATGATATTGCACAGGTGAGTTAAACAATATACATTTTTGATGCAAATTGTTTCACTGATTCAATACCGGAAGTTAGACATTCACAGTAAAAACTAAACATCACCAAATAAAAAAATGCACCAGCACAATGTTTCCATTTAAACATAACAATGTAAAGCCACAGCTGCCATTGACCTGTTATCTCAATCTGTGACACTATGTAAAAGTCCAGTGAGGTTATAGTACTAAGCTATTGCAAATTCACAGCTCTAATCATTCATTATACCACTTTTATGTTTCCTTGCAAATAGTATAAACAACATGGATAGGCAGCATGTGCTGGATAGCCTCTGGTAATACTTATTACACCTGCTGTGATAGCTTCAACTATAACAATACATGCTGACAGCTCTAGACCACAATTTCATGTTGTCAACACAGTATCAATTTTATATGGTGGCTTATTTGTGCCAAGTAAAATGTTGCTTGTTGACACTTGTCGACATGTGAGATGATGACTAAACCTTACATTTGAGAGTGTCTATAAGCCGATAGCATATCTTGCAGTGAGTATTCTAGACACTTAAAAGAGGATTATCCTAAACTTAGTTCTGGTATGTCTCTTATCAGAACACATTGGACAATTTTGTAGTTTGAATTGAAGTGTTATGTCATAAATGTTCGCAATCATAAGATTGAGTATTGTCAATGTATTCAGCTCAATATCACCAGAGATATGGTCAAGGACACCTGACATTATTACATAATCATGATTTTATTCAGAACATATCCTCTACATGC